GTCACGCGTAGTTTATTGTGACATTGGAAGAAAAGGGTCATTGTGCATGCGTTTAAATAATACATTATTATAAAACAACAAGACTGAGAGTTGCACGGAATTTCAAAATTATTTAATTAGGTAAGCAAGAAAAAAAGTCCCAGGATGGTTCTGTAACCTCCTCCTCCCAATTTAAAATCCACAGGAAAGTCAATCTAAGGACATGGTAATGAATAATAGTGCAAACACCAAGATCACCTGCGCAATATTTTTTTAGACCTCACGAAAGCATTTGATACATTTAACCACTCAATCTTACTTAACAATTAGTGCATCACTTAGTTTGAGTGGTCGTCAGCAATATGTTTAGAATGGGAAATATGTCTCTGAAATGGGCATCAAATGCGGAGTTCCACGATTGGATCTCTGCTATTTTTATATTATATAAATGATCATCCAGCTGCATCTTTTTATTCAACGCCATTTGCAAAACATACTGACTACCCTGTTGAAGTGTCATGGTAGAAAGACGTTGCTACTGTGGTTGTAGATCAGGGGTGGGCAACATACGGCCCGCGACGAGATTTTGGCCGGCCCGCTGACTGTTTCCAACCACACCCTGTAATGTGGTCCGACGCATCATTCCTGAAAGTTGCCGATCGCTCTACTCTCACCGCTGTCAGTGCGAGCTGGTGAAATAAACAATTGCCTTAGTGAACAAACAATTGCGTTAGCACACTTGTAAAACAAACAATATAAGGTCAAAGCAGAAAGCGTTGTAAACATTCCATAAACATAATCCATATCCACATAAACAGATTTATTATTTTGTCAACAAAAAAACAAACAGTCATCAATACGAAAAAAATACATAACCCAAATAAAATTGCTAATACGACCATGAGGTCATCGAGGTCAACTCCCACCCTATTTTCTAAGGTGATTAAGTTTCACACTGAAGATGACTATTAGAAAAGTTGGTCTGTCAAATATTACTTTTAAAAATTCGATTTAATCTCAGAAAACTATTGGGGGAGGGCATGTTTTATTGAGAACTCATTTACACAATAAAAGTTCTATAGGCTTTAGATCAGTGGTTCCCAACCGCCGGTCCGCGGAAATTTTCATCTTGTTGTTTTTCTACCGTCTCAATCGCTTTACCGAAGCCGAAAAGACGAAGTTACGTTGAATTATTACGCAATTTCTATTCCGCCGTCATATTGCTGTTTGATAGATGGGAGATGGCCCGGCGACGTCTTGGCGCCTAGTTCGTTTTTGAAAGCCTGGAAATCAGCATGCGTGCTTTTACCGTTCTGCATGCTTTTCTTGATTAATAGGTCGAAGTTACGTTGGTTTATTACGCAATTTCTCTTCCGCCGTCATATTGATGTTTGATAAGTGCGGTATTAATGTCCCGGCGACGTCTTGGCGCCGAGTAATCACACTTCTTGCTTTTTCGCCAAAAGCGCTCCATCAAATCTCGCAAGATTCAAAAACCTGGAAATCAGCATGCGTGCTTTTCCCGCTCTGCATGCTTTACTTGATTAATCCAAATCCATCCAAATAAAAGAAAACAAGAAACAAACAAAACCACGTATCCACATTTAGTAAGTAGACTACCGATGCGCTACACAGCAACAACAGTATCGAGAACATGCTAAAATTGGTAATGTTCATGTATTATGCTGGCTGAACGCCAAAGTGGGACTTTTGACTGATCGGTCGGGACGCACAGACAAGACGTTGAAAAGTGAGACTGTCCCGCCCAAAACGGGACGTATGGTAAGCCTAATATTAGTGCATGCATATTGTCGACACGACCCCATTATGAACCAGCTAGAATCAGGGTCGTCCAACCCGTGGCCTGCGGGCCATGTGTGGCCCGCGGAAGCATTTTGTGTGGCCCGCGCTGTATTTTTTGGAATTGAATAAAAAAATTATTGAGTATACCTAGTATTCGAGTGATGTAGTATGCAAAGATGTGATACAAACGATTTGTTTATATTTTTGAAATGCGCTCTGCCAGCCTATTCAAACGAGCCATAAGTGCCATTTTGAATCGAAACCAACTGGGAGGAGATAGCAATACAGATAAATATCGTGGCCTAGTCGCTACGTACATACATAAAATCCATAATAACGTAATACACACATAAAAGCGAGCTACTTCGTGGCAGAAATAGTAGCAAAACAGTCGAAGCCATTCTCACATGAGAATTTGTTAAGCAATGTATCGTTCGTATGTATTCGTTGGCGCTCGACGAAAGTACTGACATCTACTGCTCATCATGCGGGGAGTTAATGATGATTTCAAAATTACCGAAGAGCTCGCAGCCATTGTGCTGATTAAGGGCACGACTTTAGGCATTGATTTGTTAGGAGCTGTGATGAAAACGATCAATCGTCTTGTCTTTGGCGAAACTTTCGGAAATAAACAACTGATGGCGCCCCATCAATGGTTGGAAAACAACAGTTTTTAGTTGGCCCGCGCAGAAAAATGTGTGTCCTCTGCCTGGCAAGTTCCAAATATTTACGCCGTGTAGATGTTCATCCAGTTACAGCCGTTTGTATCCCAGACAAGTCAGAGTTGAAAAGAACATTGATATCAGGTTCTAGTGAGGTAGACACACAGTCTAGCGCTCATGGAAGGGGTCGGCAACCTACGGCATTGGAGTTAAATAATTCGGCCCGCGATGCTTTACTGAAATTTAGCGACAAAACGGCGTCTGCAAATTTAAACCATGATTTAATTTTATAATATACGCTCCTGGAGCAGGCTTTTGGACACGAAATGGACCTATGGGTCGTTTTGTTATTATGTTGTTCTTGTTCTTCATTAATTATCCTTCTTCCTATCGCTATGAAAAAATCGCTTTTCTCTTTAATTACTGGACCAATTGCTTTTCAGTGGTTGAAGATTATATATATATATACTCGCATTCGAAAGGAAATTATGCTTCTGAGAGAGCCAGGGAAAAAGCAATTAGGCTACTTTTTTACCACACTCGAGAAATAAAAGCCCACAAGCAACTTTGAATTTGCTTCTGTAATACGGGAGTTACGAATAGATTTTTCCTTCCGCTTTGGTGACTTTCGTTCTCTTGAAAACGAATTCAGGCTGTTTAGTACTCCGTTTTATGTCCCCGTGGATACGATTGCAGAATATATTCAAACGGAGCTTCCTAGAGATGCAATGCAATGAGGAAATGAAATCCATTTTCTATTCGAGAGATGTGTCAGATCATTTCTTCTTGAAGGAAATCTCTATCCAAAGTTGACAAACCGTGCCATCGTCATCACCATGACATCAATGCAACAACAAGTGTCACATTACGTGTCATTTGTATATTTCGCCTAGTAAGACGATTTGAGTCCACAAGTCGTGGCAGTGTTCGCTCGGTATTTAAAATCTGAAATTTCAACTTTGGATCTGTGTGAAAAATATGATTCATCGGCCACCCGCTCGGTTTTAACTTTCTTAAAAAATATGTGTTTGCAACCCTTAATTTTTACCCACGAGCACCACGCCCACGGGCAAAAATGGCGTACTGATTGAACCACGCCAACAACTACCTCTCAGAGTGGAAAGATTTGTGATAATAGAGTTGGAAGCGACTGACCAGCTAAGAGTGGGATCCGAATTGGGCGCTCCGGAAGTATGTGTATCAATATGGAGGTAACTATTTCTGTTCGCCTACTTTACATCAAGTTGTGTAAAGGAAGTGATACCTATTGGTAGGGGGCAGTATGTTGCCCAGCTTTTTATTTTAGGGGGGGTGTTTCGAAATTTAGAGGGGTGGTAAATAATATTTAAGAAACGATGTACATGAGGGGCCCCCCAAGTTGATTGACGGCGAGCCAAAATCCACAGCAGAATAAAATTGTAGGGCCAGAAAAGTGCGGGACGACACGGCTGGGGTTCAAGGCGCGCTTAAGCGCCCTGAGAAAATTTTGAGAAATAGGCACCAAAATAGGCTCTAAGCTTGATTTTAGATACACCTAGCAACACAGTTTGTTATGTAATGAAATCAATAATTATAATATTTAGCTGATAGAATTCCCGGGAAATAGATAACAAGCACGGCTTTCAACCGTAAATATATACTACTACGTTTCAACAAGTAATTTGCAACTGATAGTAACTAATGAAGTTACTTGCTCATCTGGCATTGTATGAATGGCTACTTATGGCTTGTTTTGTTACACATTTCACATTTTTTTGAACATGTGTGTTTGACTTTTGTATGAATTAAGCAATGAATTAAATTTTGAAATACGCGCGTCAATTGATCATAATGGCGCATAATGTTGTATTCCTTCAGAACTTCACTCAAGTTCGGCGGGCCATTTTAAATCGTCACGCCGGCCGTAATTGGCCCGCAGACTGCGGTTTAGAACCCCTCATCTACACTGATAAATATGCCATACTCGTTATATTTGAATACAATTATACTTGAGTTAGGAAATAAAGTGTGAAATCGCACCTCAAAATTGGGGGGGTGTTTGAAATTTTAGGGGGGGTGTTCACCCCCTATAGGGGGGTGTAGGGAAATCACTGGTAGGGGGCATAATCACTTGGCTAACACAGACAATCCCCGAACTCGTAATATAACTGAAACAAAGAAAATCGGAATAAAATTATGGCCTAACCCTAACCTGGTACACATACTATACGGGAGTACCCCAAATTGTGACAAAAATGTCGGTGTACAGTGGTTGAGTAGGGAAACAAGTCTCGAGTAAAATTTTGAGCTAAAGACAATGCCGTTGACTTGTTGTTGATTGTCTTGTTTTGTAATATCTTTTCTGAAATCTCCGAAATCCGATGTTTCACTCGATACTGATTTTGAATACAATTCTAACTATTTCCGATGATCGATTCTGGACATGTTAAGCGTTGGTAACTAGGTGCCCTTATATCCGGACATTCTCAGTTGTTTTCTGTCAGTAGTTTCTGTTTTGAATGGCACTTTTAGAATACATTGGATTCATATGTTGTTTGAAATGAATGTTAATAATGAATTTGTTCAATTTTATTAGTTTACATTCAAAATATTAACCATGAGCAATAAAGTATGATAAATGTAATTAAAGCAAGAAAAAGATTTAAATAATAAAAGCACACTAAAGCGAAGTTCTACATAAACATTGTAATGTGTCAAGCGGAAGCCGCTCGGAAAACAGACCAGCGGCTCATTGCCAGACTAGTGTGTCCTTGGTCATAAAAGAGTCATCGCATATCACAAAGCAGTTGCCTTATGCGCGTTACTTTTGGGGCCTAAAATATATCAAATATTTATTTACTGGTAGTATCGTCAATTCAACTTGACCAGTTCATTCTCTTCACGAAAAACCAAAATGTCCCTAACCAAGAAAGATCTATTGACAGACAGTTCAGATTACTAATCGAAGTGTATTGCCAAGCGCAAGCAGCAAATGATGGTACTGTCTTGCAGGTTTACAATTATGGTTCTTTTTACAGATGTTCCAAATTCACGATCATAGTCTTGTAAACGCAACCATTCAAAATCATGCATGCTTTTTCGCATTTCCTGGAGCAATGACTAACAAGTTTTTAACAGTGTACAAATAGGGCAATGGAAACAAATACGGAGAAGCTAAATATCTCCTTTAAGATTTTTGGCTTCCACGTCTCCCGCGCTGCTGAGTTTCGATCGAAAATCGGTGCCAACCCTTGACAAAGAATGTATGCGTTCCGGGTGAGATACGAAGAGCAGAATTTTAACCTTCCAGTCGTTATAAGATGCCACCATGCAAATGTAATAAACAATTAGTTTCAAGTCCATGGTAACGGTGTTCAACATAACAGGGCGTTCAATTAAATTGTGAACAGCGATGAAAACGATTTCATTAAACACACACGCAGCTGCAGCTAACGTGCATCTTTTGACAATCGGTGCTATTTTCGATTTTGGTTCGTCCGATATGTGAGAGTGAGTTTGCTTCACTGGATAGATGAAAAATCCCAGCAGAATCAGTTGATAGGCAAGGGAGAATCCCGTGTAAATTCCAAGAGCAACTCCCCATCTGCTCGCTCGAACTAACATGCATCCGTCCTCTGTCAATTCCATCTGTACATATCTTGCTTCAAGAACTAAAAGAAAAATGAAGAAATATATTAAACCGTCATATCGCCGCAAAATTCAATTATGACAAATAATAACAATTTTTAGAAATAAAAAGGGGTATTTCAGATCGGTAGTAGTTCTTAAACTTTTTGAACACGGCCCAAATCTTGGTTTTATGAACATCTTACAAGTCAAATCTTAAATGTCGAAAACACGGGTTTTGAATGTTAGCACTCGCTATTTTTCTGCTATGTATGAATTAGACAAAACATAAATAACCAGTTATGGACGCAGTTCCACGAAACAACGAAATATTAAAAATCATTTATTCTGTGTGATCGATGGTGCTGAAAATTTTCCTCCATAATATTTGCAATGCACGTCTCTATTTTACTGGGCGCAATGCGCACACTGTCACTTGGATTGAGGCGAGGCGAGTGCCAAAATTCTGGTGCTTCCGGTGTTGGAATTTCCACTCTTAGCAACACGGATAACAGTTTGCTGGCCCACCGGCTGATATGCATATTCCAGGTGCAAGCGTCAGTTTCAGCGAGATTCATAGCTACATATGAGCGCCGTAGTGGTGTCACCGACTTTGCACAGTGAAAAATCCCGACAATGAAAACTCTCGAGCAACCAAATATGATTCAGTTTGCCGTTTTTATTATTTTACTCTCTTTTATTTACGAATATTGTTTTGCAGTTTAGTATACGATTTTGACTGACTCATACGCATTAATATTACAAGAAAGAAACCGAGCAAAGTTTGCTCGTTTTATGAATCAAATATTGGGTAGAATATTCTTTCGGGTTTTGATAGCCATTGTTAAATTCGACATAAATGTCAAATATAGCCATTTTAGTTATATCATTAATAAATAAATAAAAAATTATGCAAATAGCAGTGATTTCGAATTGAACTGAATTTTCTTCGTATTTTATTCATAATGTTTGACAAATGGTCTTATAAAATCTCCAATAAAGTATGAGCGCCATATCCAAAAACGTAAAAAATTGTAAGCCTTCGGATTTATTCAAATGTTGACCACTTTGGTAGATAACGCAGATATCAATCCCAAGAAAATATCAGCGGGGAAAAGAGACAGGCAGGAAATTAATGCAACGAGTCGACGGTGCGCAATTGTATACTGAGTCATGAAACAATGGCTTATCAAATTTCGTAGTTTCGTTAATCACTACATTGTAAACATATTTTGTACATACTGGCAAAACACAAAATACATTACATATTGTGATATATACCCATACGGTTGCGTTGCCCTAATAAAGACTGTACAGTCAAAATGGTGTGTATGATCTTGTCTAAATAGTTTATTTTGAATATATTACGATAGAGTTATTATAGGACGTATTGAATTCTTTCCTTTACGTCTGAAAACTTGTTTCCCTGAAATATTAGTAACTTTTGTCAAATCTTGCCCTATTATGCGCGTGATTCTGCTACAGTTACGCTATATTAAGCAATTATGTATTGTCTTTGTAATCATGCAGTAGACTCACGATTTTCGTGAGTTTATCAGCACCTAAAAGCTTTGAATTCCGCATGTTTTGTGTCATATGATTGTTATTCTTTATTTCTATTGCATAATTTCGCCTGAGAAATCCCCTCATCAAGCATGGGTTGTATTCATTCTTTTTTGCAAACAAAGGACAAATTTCAGTACAGGGTCAAACAATGTTATATTTAGCAAGACAGACATCGCGCACATTTGTAATACGTTTGTTTTCTGGTTTATTCTTTTTGAAAAGTAAACATCAGTAATTTCACGTGTATTGATAATCAAATGTCTTACTATTCAAATACATATATATCATTACCAGGCAACCCGGCCAGGTTTTTTGTCAGCTTTATTATAAGAACGAATGCTTGAAGCTGCGAATTACAACAAACAAAAAAAACTATTGTTTATGTTCGTCTTATTTGCACTCATAAAATCTGTTTCACCACCGGGTTAATGATTCGATGATTTCAAACTTAAACTCTAGTTAACCATAGAATTATAATAACTATCGATATTATTTAAAGATAATTGCATAAGAGTATGACGAATCTTACTCAAAAGTATCCAAATTAATTGATATTAAAGTCAAATTATGGAAGTGATTAATAAATATTACGCGCTTTGTGGTTACGAACCCATCAATATAATTGCTGGCTATAAAATAATGATTGTCTTTACGCTTATGTACAAAATAGCATCTACGCATAGTGGAAGTTAAACTACTTTTAAAAAATAGATAAAATTTCAATTGCCAACATACCGAGCAAAATGAAAATATTATTTTTTGATGGCCTGATACGTGTTATGACTCGAATAATGGGTCGAATATTTTTTCGGTTATGATAGACACTGTTAAAGGAAGTAGAACTTGATATAACAATATTTGGTGATCTGCTCTACTTTTCATATAGTATGGTGATTCTATAGGGTGCTAGAGAAATATCTAACCGCGAATTTATGAGGTTAAATTTGAATACCAACTGTCTAAAGTTGCAACAACGTTTGAAGTAACAGGAAGACTTAAAAACGTCGTTAACGACTTTTATTACATTCCTTGCCAAAAAATTGTAGATGTATGTGGTTTTCAAGTTTAATATCATAAAACCCGTTGAAATAAATATGTCTGGAATCTTTAGTATTTTCCTCTTTGACTTTACTTGTGAGTTCACTAGTTGTTTTCGCTAATTCTCTAGTACTTCCTTTATAATATATATTCAGTAAACGCATGATACTGTGTTTGAAGAGAAATCAACGCACCAGCGAGAATGTATGGGTGGGGTGATGTCGAAGCAATTCAAGTAATAGAATACTCTAATAACACACGCAGTGAATATGCTTTAAAAGTTTAACCATGTTGTGTGAATTGATATAACGAAATCCGAAAATTATCAAAAACGAGGACCCATATTTAATTTATTCTACACAAACATGTATAAATATGAATAAACGCATTTTCGTCGAAGTATGAATTACTGTATCGCGTTACTTGTGCTTGTGGTCTGCGCCGTTGGAATCTGTCTTTCATCACCAAGTCAGTTATATTGTCTCACCACAAAAATAGTGTTGTTATAATTGATTGGTAAACTTAAAATTGACATAACTTTGAAGTATTTTCTCAGGGGAGGTCTACTCAATTAAATGATTTGGTGTCTGGTTTGGCAATCAGTTCGGAATTTTATGTCGTTGACAATTTTATGCCAAATGAATCTCTATGATTTAATGTTGACGATTGATTACAATGAAGTTGTAAAAAATGAAGAAAATTATTACGAATAAAATATAATACCATCGTGATGACGGTTTAATTAACAGGAGTGGAGACTCGATAATTGATCATTTGCGACAACCGCGTGAATGAATTATAAGAAAGGCTATTAATCAAAAGTTTTATCAACAAGTTTGCAGTTTTCAATATTGCATAAATCAAAAAATAAGTACAATATGGAAGTTCGGTGCCCCCTTTTCAGGCAGATAAAAGGGAAGGGAAAAAATCGGATATCCTAAAAACGATATTCATGTTGTGATTTTTTTATCATTTTCGTTCCAGGACGCTTTATCAAAACATTAAAAAAAACTATTTTCAACATTTGCATTGGCTTTAACCCGTGAAAATATACTTCGCTACAGGCACATTCGATTTATACCGGTATATTAATTTTAACACTCAAAAAATTATGATTGAATATGTAGTCCAAGTTATACTAAAAATGAAGTATAGATCGTCATGGGTTCGGTCAATCTTGAGTCCGTTGCTGCATGAACTCAATGGCAATACCTCGATAGAAATTCTTGACCAACGTCATTTGAATTAGATTCTTTGTTTATAGGTTTTTCAAACTCGACATCCCGCCAATTGGCAAGACCCGTCATAACATGTCATTTGCGTTAGTTATATAAAATAGGACGCCAGTTCCCGCCAAATTGGCTTAGTCAGCTTGTATCAGCTAAATCGGAAGTTCTCGAAGCGTTCGTGTCGTCTTGCAATCCAACATCTGGTACTGCATAACTGCGTCGCCAAGCATAGCCGAACTAATTCATTTAAAAATCGCCAAGAGTAGTGTGGTGCAAGTAGGGCCGAGGAAAAAACACTACTCTATATATGGTATGCATCGAATCCAGTACAATATATTATAAACGTATGATTGCCTAACTATATCGCAATAACATGGTCATATTAAAATAAAGAGCAATTGATTTGGCACTGAGTGACACAACAGGAACTCGACTGGAAAGTTAAAGTAACGCCTCCTTATAGAGATTCTTCAAACCGGATAAGAAATATACACGTGGGTGTCATTGTCCAATGACAGCATTGACATATATAACGCGTAAAAAGGGATCGATCCATTTTCAATGACTAAGCGGTAAATGGAGAAACAAGTTGCAAGTAAATATTATACATTTCATTATATAAAAGAGTGAAAACTTTTTTAATCTTTCTCCCAATGCTTCAGACAACACTAGTAGACCTTATCTTAAAATATTTTGTCCTCCTCATCTAGTTGGGAATATGTAACCATTTCAGTTACATACAATATTCAATATTTCAAATATGTAGCAAAACTTCATTTTTAAATTGAAGTATATATATATATATATATCGTTTTTTAAACGTAATTAAAACTGATATCTTACCGGGACCCATTGCAGCCAGAGTAACTGTGAGAATCAAAACCAGTATATTGAAAATTTTGAAAGTTGTTGTCTTCACTTTCTTCAGAATCGGTTGGTCGTACAAAACCCATTGCCGTAACCATAGAAAAGCATAGACGCATGCGGTGCCCAATGTCGTCAAGGCGCTCTTTGATATAAATATTGCGGCAAAGGAGCCGAAGCCATTTTTTCCAAGTCCCAGTTGTAAAATATCTATGATCAGTCGTAAGTTAATGGTCACAATGACAACGACAAGCAGTCCACGAAGAACAGTAGCATACTGAACAGTACAATTTGCATCAGTCGGACCTTTTCGAGAACGACAGAGTGCCACCGCCAAACTAATCAGAAAATAAAAGGCCACAACAAGCATTCCTGCCAATATTCCAATGTATATTTGCGTTGCCCATCGTTCTTCATCGCAAACTTCTTGATTTAAGTAAAATTCTGAATAGTTGTTACTTTTGTTCATCTCCGCTTCAGTGCAATCCTTTAGATGCGACAAGTATTTTCTTACTCTAAAAAGCGCAACAAACACCACGATATATTCGGCAATAATGATCTGCAGTCTCCATTTGAGAGAGTTTTGTCGTGCTACAGGTCTGGCAGCCGTGACGCACGGCTGACGCAATCTCTCCTTGCACCATCCACGTACATACGCAGAGTTATCGTGATCCCTCGATTTTTATTAATTTCAACAACAATTCAGATGATCCACATATAGGTCCACAGCGGGTGATAATAGGAAATGGCAATATTACTCTTTCATATAATACAGAACACACTGGTATAGGCATAAACGAGAGTTTTCCTGAAACTTCCTGCGAGTAAATGCCAACATTGTATTTACAAGATGCAGAAAAACTTGTCATATATATAAATGAATTGCATTTTGAAAAATGTTGGTGTTGTTGTAACCATCCCACAGCACCGCAAAATGGGTAATGATTTCGCGATCGTTACCCCTCGTGGTCACTTAATACATTTTAGGTCTCAAAGTCTTAGTAACAGTTTATAGTCATAACAAAGACGAACATTGTGATTTTAACCGTATCATCCAAGAGTACAATTTTCGTAAATCAAGCTTGAAAATGTAATAAAAAACATTGAGAGTAATAAGAGGAGATGAGGAAAAAGTTGTAACTGATTTTTCTGAAATTCAAATACAGTGCGTTTTCTGTAATAACATGAATATGTGTTTGCGACACTCATTAGGTAGGCTTGGCTTTGACCGCTGAGCTAACCAAGAGTAATCCCAAAACTCTAACTCTATGTTTGCAACGCAAACATTATAAGGTTAACGCGTTCACTCGGTAATCTCGGAGCTGACGTTTCGTCTAATTATAAAAGAACTAATTGAAACTTCGAAAAAGAGCAGAGTGAGTATGACGCAGTAATTTACTGCACCGAACTCATCTAAAAAGCCATTGCGTTAAAATTTATCGTACCGTGATAACCTCCGTGTTTGCCCACGCTTAGAATTTGAATTGCCTTTAGAGACTAAAAGGAAGCTTTGCATCATTCTATTTTGAGGTAATGAATAATGAAATTACCATAGATCAATATTCATTATCTCACAGAAGATCGCAACCACGAAAAAGAAAGTAAAATTGCAGTATATATATACATATTAATTAAGGTCGTCCTAATACCTAATGTCCTCTTATTATTGAATAACTATAGGCACTTATAACAATTCAAATTCTCGCATTCACTAAGAGCAGGGTGAAATCTCCCAAATATGTCGAGATAAACTTTATTTTTGGTTTTAACAAAATACCTGGGAATAAATTTTAAACGTTAAACCCAGAGGAAACCAGAAACCAAATATTTTCGAAGATGGTTTCATGCAGCAAGCAAAGTGTAACAAAATTCGAGATTTGTAGTCAAATCTAATTAAGGTTACCGTATATTATAATATTTATATCTAATTTTGGTAGAAGTCGATTTCAAAAACTTTCAATGAATAGTCAAAGAAAGAAGTTATCTTAAATTTTGTAGTAAGAATGTTATCACGAGATTGTGTAAACTTTAAAATCAGACAAAACTAAACAAAAACACATTTTTATTCGTGCTTATCAAATCATATGTAATCAACCTTGCTACAAACGTGATCAAAACACATCATCACCGATGCTTCGTTGTTATTTTAGTCCCAATCAATAATTTATACAGCTAGCTTCACATCTTTAAGCATTGTTAAAAGTCAAATATATAGAAATAGATACCAAATACAGTTATGTTTCTTCGCATAATAAATCTCAAGTTCATGCCGATATTTTAAATTGAATATAAAATTTGTATACCGTGTTCCCCGAAAATAAGACCTACCTTGAAAATAAGACCTAGCATGAATTTTAAAAATTATTTTGATATAAGCCCTCCAATTAAAATAGGACCTAGTCGATTGCGCAAAATCTTTTTCGACCTAGTAGATAGCAAGAAATCTTTCCTGCTCGTTTCAAATCTTAATAATCTATGTTTAGCAGTTATTTTAAATAAAAACGTGTTATTTATAAGTATATAGATATCGGTTTTCGTACTATTGAAAATCTCGTAATTCTCTACTTTGTAGTTTTGTTTTTGATAAATGAAAATAAAAGATATCCCCCCAAAATAAGCCCTAGTGTTATTTTTCAAAATAAAATGAAATAAGACACCGTCTTATTTTAGGGGAAAAATGGTAGTAATGTGGACATTGCGCATTTTACTGTCATCAACACTGAGCATTTCCGTAACATTTGTGCTCGAAGGCAATAAGGAGCGCAAGATTAAAAGACTCGCTAACGATGAAATAACGTTAATAATATTTGTTCCTGTTTTCCTGTAAAAGCGATAACTTATTTGATAAAAATATATCAATTTGAAAAATTCAAAGTCAATCTCGACTGGACTACATTTACGAACTCCAAATCTATCTTGAAAACTCAAGTTAAAAGTTGATTTATTTTTTGAGTTATGTCACCTCCTAGTTAAAAAGATCTGAATTCACACAAATTTGCTATTTTACTCAAGTATAGTAATGTTCAAATTTTGGCAGGACGTGACTTACCCCTGTTTACTCACTCAGGCAAAAGAACGAATACGGATTTTCATAAAATTGTTTTTATTTGTCGAACCACAGTATAGAGAGATAAATTGTCATAAAGTGCTGGCAATTTTAAAAGAAAGAGAGAGAGAGAGAGAGCAAATAATAATAAAAACTATTATACCATTCAGTTCACAATTATACTATTTTCGTTCAGTGCCATTACATTTGAATGGTAGGCAATTTAAAAGGCATGTAAAGTCGTACATTATTCAAGTATATATATATTTTTAAATTGAGAATCGGGAACTCAACAGAAACAAATATAAGCAAAATTTAACAAACCCAACAATTAGCCAAGCATAAACTTATAAAGTGAGCTATAAACCAAGCTTGAACAATGAATGAATTTTTAACGATAAAGTGATAGTATATCTCCGGTATTTCAAAAAGCGCATATTCTAAGAAGATTGTTTTCTAAAGGGCTTGACTTTCATTGCGAACAAAGTTTGAATTCATTTCTGAATACGTGTGGCGAAAACATATAGATAATAGTATGATCCTATAATAATATTGAAACTTGTACTCCGCTTGTCACACCACAAGAGTACAAAAGCGAGGGATATGATTTGTGCATACTTTTCGACAGGATGCGAAAATCATCCATAATACCTAACAGAAATGCGATTTTTGTTGATTGGATGAAGAATTTACTCAAAGGTTTTTCGTTATATGACGGCAAAGAACAGACAACTGAGTTCACGAGGATGGAACGTCAGAGGCTAAAAGTTGTATTTTCAATATTCTATTGACGTCGTTCTCTTGCATTATTTATTGTAACTCGTAGAGAAAATCTAATTTGTTTGTTTTACAAATTTGAAGTGTTATTCAAGCACTTTTAAAAATAGAGTATGATATATAATTGTAGCAAAAATCAACCTTACAATAAGTTTTACACGAGCTTATATTTCAGAGCCATATCACGATATGAATCCAACACCAACCGAAATATTCCTTCGTAATCTTGAAAAGACATATGCGTTTAAATAACTAGCCTAAGATCGAGTCCCTACTCAAAAAGAATATATCTATATATTGCAGAGAATAAAGCCATAACAGGACCAATTTCGTATTATAAACTTTACCCATCTCATGGGAGGCAAAAAAGAAAAATCCATGTATTGAATTAATTGCTCCTTTGTGGTGCCGGTCTCCACACCACGGCCATAGGCAATCGCTTACACGATTTCAAGGATTGTTGCAGACAAAAAGACGTCGAGTTGTCATTTAGTCCTTGGTATTATCATTTCACTAGCGAGCTCTGCCTCTTCGTCACTCTGATTCAGTTTTATGGAAGACTGTCGGGGATTCGGTGTTCGCGTATCGTTTCTTAGCTCTGGTATGGTATCCGGAAAGTATGACGCTAATTTTGAAACGGGTATTGATTCGTCAAGTTCATCAGCAAAGCTGTAAAAAAAATTATAACTGAATCAAATTCACTCAATTCCAATACCTTGCTACAGAGAATCGGAAAGGTACGCATAGTAAATTATTCCAGAATTTTATTCTAAAACTGATTTGATTTCTCGTTTTCGAAAAATTTAAGCTCATTCACTTTGCATAATTTTACTCGGTAATATGTAGATTCAGATGTAATAACGCCAATTATACATGAAGGTAATTCAATTCAAAACATTGTGTTTTTATACCTGATATAAATATGATTAAGGGTAGGAACCATAATTGAATATAGGTAGTATTTAAGTTACCTATCTTGACGGCAAAGTCGATTCTGACTTGAATTTTGTTTAGGAAAATGATTGTCCAGAATTACTTGTTTTCCACCATTCTGTAAACACAATAGAAAATATGTAAAAAATCACTTGTTTTTTATATGCATTGATTTTCAATATAATAGTAACCCGTGGAAGGAAAAATATTTAGTAGAAATCGTGACTATTAAGAAAAGGCTATTGATCAACTCTAATTAGGCCACTATAATACATAGTGCAATCTATTTATTTAATCCCGATTGAGCAAATTTTCACACCCGGTTCTGAATAAACACGTGAAAACATTGTTATACGTCACAGCGTCCATTTTAGAAAAAAAAGAATTCTTGCTCAGCTAATTTTTTGCATTCTCTTCATAGAAATTCATTGGAAGTTCTTCTTCTCGGTTAAATTGATAATGAGAATTTGCATTTTATACGTGATTCAGCGGTTTGACGATCATCGCAATTCATACTGCGCGTAACGCGTGACGTGACATGCGTATGAGTACATACAATTACTTGTTGTTAGGAGGCATAGTGGAAAAACTATCATGACCCGGAAATTTCACTCAACTTCGTCCCATATTTTAATGATTTTTTTTCGAATTTTGAATATTGTGTAGAACTGTAGATGCTTTAATACTCTAAGACAATATCACAATAAAATACAACTTTTGGGTCGTCCTGATGTATGCGCACCAAGATGTCGCATAACCTGAACCCTAACCTGTACACAACCTGAGTTCAGGTTGTGCACCATCTTGATGCGCATACTTCAGGGGGTTCGCTTTTTGAAACATTGGGGTCTTTTTTGTATGAAATATCAGAACTTGTGCAAAAAATCATGTTTACCAAAGCTAATTCGCAATCATTTTCAAAGACCTTAAGTATGAATCGTGGGCAAGCTACTCCATTAGAGAATTGGATACAAAAAGTGTGATTAAATTTTTTTAAATTTTTGTTTATTTTATATTAATATCTCTGCAGCATTTCTAAATGCTGAAAAAAGCATTTGAGACGGTATGTGATCACGACCTTTAGCATTTTGCCACCACGACGGTGATATTTTCATAAGTTTCGGTGTAATTACAAAATAACATCACACATTACAATTGTGTAATGCAATGTCACATGAGAAAGGTTACCTATAGATACGTGATGAAAACATTGCTTCATATAACACAAAACAGCATTTCTTTTCGCATCAGCAATGCTATAACCAACCGTTAAAAGGTAGGCCATATATGTACAATACTATAAGTTTGCATAATACAGTATTAGGTTCCACATTTCAATATTTAAGAAAGTAGATTTGAACTCGAATTTAGGTTTGACATTTCATTACTGCAGCTTTATAATTAAACTAAAATCAGAGTTATACTGGGCCAGACATATTCTTGGTTTATTATATAAAAGTGCCATATCACGATGTACATCGTAATTGAATGTGACATTGCAAACTGAAATCCGTGCATATTGTCATGTGTTTGTTACTTTTCAGGGGTTTTTGAAAGTATTTCGTAAAAAATCGTGAAATTTGCTGCAAGATTGATAAAGACAAACAAAATGTGTGCAAGTACACATTGCGCCAAAAGGAAACAGTGTCTAATACAGTTTGCTCGTATATATATAATAGTATTATCAGTTCATTTGCGTCATTCGATGAAATGCCATGACGATATTCTATACCCATATAACACAAATGATTTATTGAAGGCGTACCGACTATAAGCGCGTCTACGTTCATATACACTGGGCTGCTGCTATCAAAGGACTTTTACGCGGCATTTCCTTTTCGTATCATGTTACAAAACCAATTTTTGATCTCTCAGCGAAAAACTGAATTGTGGCTAAATATCAGTTGACATGGAGCACTTGGATGATACACACAGTCAATAAAACAGAGACAAGCGGAAGTAAAATGGTATGAGGCGGAAGAAAAAAATTTGAATAACATATTCTAATGCACTATTCATAGGGTATTCATAATCGAATTGTTAAGTATCATGCAAAATGTTCAATTTTGTAGAAAAACCTCAACTTTGACATAAATTTGACGTAAATAATAGATTTATAAGAAAATGCCAAATTTCCCATATCTAACAAACATTTGTAATTGATATTTAATTGGAATCGAATTTGTAAAACTTCAACTATGTCTAAACAACTAAAAGTCTCTGAACCCGGAGTAGCGAGATAAGTCAAGTCACGGGACACAACGTTTCGAGGCCAGCCCGTCTCAGAAGTCGAGCCAATCATTGAGACAAGTCTCATTGAAAGCCAATTGGGCCCAAGTCATTCCATTTGGACGCCTACGAGTCACTTTGAGTCTTTGATGAATAGTCCAACTCGGATTGAGTCAGTGACACGAGCTTCTCAAACCACTGGTCGTAATAAATTCTACACAAATATCCATCTCGGCGGTACACCATGAATTTGAATTTAAAAGTGTCGACAAACTACAATTGAAATGCTGAAAATTAGTTGAAAAAACCTACCCGATATATTTGAACATTGTGTTGTGGTTTGGTGTTATCAAAGCGATTATTGTTTCCAAGCTTGCTATATAAAATCACTTCATTATTATGTCTTCTGATGTCTCTAATGTCACTATCATCGTCATCGTCCTCCAACGAGTTCCCACGCATTTCATAGTTACGTAACAGTGGACGTCTAAAATGAAATAATTACCGTGTTGTAAATCGAGAAACGTTCGTCCTATATTGCTGAAGAACTCGAGTAACTTTGGTCAAGTTTGCAGTTTGATATAATAGGATATATGTACAGATATCAAATTGTGTATACAATTCCATATTGCTGCATTAATCCAACGAACAAAAAAAATGGACGGAATAACTAATTGATCGAACTTAATGAGATTGCCATACAGATATTTGAATAACGTTAATTCAGAGTTACCAGAAAAACAAATCTTCGTGATTCGGCGTCCAAACTATTTTCAGGCATATTTGCTATACTGTAACTACCCGGTATATTATACTGAGATAATTTTGCTATATATAACACCTATAATCTCGCATGGGGTAATATTATTTGATTAGGCAAAATAAAAGTAACATTACAGTCCATTCCTACAGCCTTGGAAGACTTCAAATGATATTAACCACATTGAATAAAATCTGGATGAATGGAACCTTTTGTTCATGATTCATTTATACCTTTGGAAGCTTGTCTCTATCCGGTTATTGATGAGAGGTGTACTTTCCGGATTCGAATCTAAATCATCTCTTGAATGCCTCATGTTTCTGTGAACAGCTGCAGGAACGACAAATGTTCGTTTCGAGGCCTCTGGCGTTGCAGGCAACTTCCGACGTCCGTTAACCTGACTACGTGAATTTGGTTTTATGTCAGCCGTAGACAACGGCTGGAAGGCACTTGAGGCCGTTTTGTAAGTCCTACGGTCCTCTTCCAAATCGCCATTCAAGCTAAGAGTGTCGGATTGAAAATTATCGGAATCGGTTACCGAACAAGATATTGAACTTGCATCGTCGAAAAACGAATCCGATTCTCGATCTAAAAGTCGTTGACGTTCATGAGATCCCATTGGATTGACTTCATCAACGTTATCTGGCACTGACATCGAACGACGGCGTGGTCCGGCGACACGTCTTCCTTCGTAATAAGTTTGTCTGATGTCACTTGCGGTTGGTGACTTAGATGCTAAACTCAGTGGATTGCGTTCTAAATGAGCAAACTCTAACGACCGCCTGGAATCCGTTTTTTTCACTTCTCTGGGTTTACCACAGTAACATGGTCTTCTTCTAACTACTGGAGTTACAGTCTCATCTTCAGTTGCCAAATGCCGATGCAAATTTTCTCCGACAGACGTGAAGGGCAGAATAAAGTTTCTTCTGTTGCTTCTGCAAAATATATTAAATTGTATGTAAGTTAAAAGTATTTGGTGGTATAATTCAAAATATGCTTTCAGTAAATAGGGTTTGTGTGGTTTGGCATAAAATTCATGTGTAACATATTATATCGGTATAAAATTACGAGTTCGGGGACTGTCTGTGTTAGCCAAGTGAATATACCCCCTGCCTAAAGGTTTCATTCTCTTTACACAACTTGATGTAAAGTAGGCGAACAAAATTAGTTACATCCATATTGGTACATACACTTCTGGAGCGCCGGATTCTCAAATGTATCCCAATATTTTAGCATATAGCAAGGGGGAATGATACGGAAAAAAACGCCTCTCAATAGGTCATTGTGGAGTGAGAAAATAATACCGACCCCAGATAATAATAATGCCCAAAGGCAAACATTACCACAAAAAAATATTTAGCTAGACTGAAAACATATCCACATTTCACCTTCTATCCTCTTCTTCCACAGAATATGCGCGTTGTATTGATTTCCTGCTTCTGGGGTTATATTTAACGTGAACTTGATTATCCAAATCTAGTTTTGGCTCTGCAGAATTATTCCTGTTAGTATTATGGCTAGGGCTTGTATATCCTTCCTGGTGCTGAATAGGAGTTGCCCGAGACCTTTTCAAAGAACCGCCTCCAATAAACCGATCCGCGTTGCTATCCGGTGACTTTATATAATGTGCTGAGTTTTGAGAAGGTATCGTGTATATTGCTTCTGCGTTGCGATTATTCTGCTTGTTGTTTGCAACTGCATTGGAGTTTGGGATGGGAGTTTGTGGCATGAGTCGATTTGTCAGTGGACTGTAAAAGTTGGGAAAACAAAAATTATAAATCTTGAAACATGAGAAAATAAAATGATTGATGGTGATGGTACGCAAAATAACCAGTCACCACAAATCATTTGAATGACCACAACAATCGAACCAATTCTACAATATTGACAAAAATAGTTTGTAACATATGATATTTCCCAATATTTCACAGTTTTTGCTATATAGTGGATAATTTCAATATACTGTGTTCAAAAACATTTGGAAGAATTTCTTTTACCAATAAGTGTCTGTACAACTCAACTAAACATTTGTAACTTGTTGTACCAACAAACTATGGTATGTCTAACTCAATCTTAGGCACAACCCAACCCGCTACCGTGCCACACAAAGCGAAATAAATCGAGTAAGATTTGGCACATTAGAGTGAGAAAATCCATCCCAGTGACTTTTGTCGGTATTTATTGGTGCGTAATGTACAATCACAATTTCATATAATTTTAGTAGATATTGGTATTTTCACGTTGTTCACGGTGCTTCGTTCGGAGATGAGTCTATATTACTTCTGAGTGAGTGCGCGTGGCCTTACTTTGAACCTAAAAAATGTCTCGAAAATACATGTAGCAAATTTCCATATACTATTTTATTGTGAAAACATTCCACACACCTTTGATCAGAATGCCTTTGATGGTGATCGTTGGGCTTTGGAGGTTCCCCCTCAACTACTAAAGGTCGTTTTGAAGTAACCACTGGAGTTCCAGCGTGTCCAGGAGCACCCTTGAGTCCAAACAAGCTATGACGTCTCTGCAAAATAAGATTTAATGTTAGTATTTAATTTGAAAACTGTCACGCTGATCAGTATGTATTACAGTCCAATAGTACATATACCCTGTGAATAGGTTCGTCATCATAATCAGCTGACTCGCGGTCTGCCTCCTCATCACAATCATAAGTCAACAGATTTCCGGATATTGTTCTCTTCAATTCCGGACCAGTATCTTGTATGGCTCTGATACCCGCCTGGTGAAAAAACAAGAGAATATGATATCAGTTTATTGTATGTAAGCAAAACATTCAGTTCTACTTTGGACTTGTGGATTGTTCAATATCACAAGTAATCAATAATAGTTATTATTTTGAGTCGATTTGAAAATCGACAGTTATATAAGCCTCCCCGAAAATATACTTATACCAAGAACGAAACTGTCTAATCTATATGCCTAGTTAAAATTGATATATTAATACTAGTTGAGCAAATTTTTCATCGAAGTTCGCCATATTCAGTATTTTCATTTTAATTTAATCTGTATTACACTTAACAGCCCCTTGGAAACTCAAATGATGTGAAGTTCAATTCTAATAATCCTCAAAATTAGTAATTTGGTAACTCGAATGCTGATTTGGATTTTTGTCTAGGGTGCGTAAAGACTGAAATCCCCATCATAGTATTGTTAGATAAAAACGAAACATTTTGTTTGGCACAAACGTAGAGTATTATAAAATTTTTGTTACGACTATCAACTCTATATATACATACAATAACAATATAACAATGAATAGCATAATAGTTAAGCGTATGACTTATTTTTGCGTGTGAGGCGTTTGCTGCAATTTTCTATCGGCATTCTCTGCAACATAACTAAGAAAAACAAATTTACCTGTAACGTGTGTGTATTTCCTCCTTGAGCGGGGAAGTTTCCACTTGCATGCTGCATTTGTTTTTGTTTTTTCTCTCGAAATTTTCGGAAATAATCTTGAATCAAATACGTGGCGTAGAATTTTCCCACTGTAACTTCGTCATCTGTAAATTCGTAAGAAAGAGGGTGCATAAATTTACTGGTAGTGGTGATTCTTTTTTGAAAATTTGTCGTCTGGGTTAAGGATGCAATCTGGTGATATCCACCTCCAGCATTGGCCACCGTGTGCCTTAATTACCTTGTATTAGATTGGGTTTGGCGTTTACGAATAGGATAAACAATAGTCATAGCAGGTATTTTACATTATAGTATACGGCTGGTAGAACCTAATAAAAACAGGACAGTGCTAAAATATATGAACAGGAAGGTCAGACGACTCCACTTTGACCAACGTCAGCAACATTTCAGCCAAATGTTACATGAATTGTATTGAATGTCATATTAAATATGTTTCGAAGTATTTCAAACATTCAGATTATATTAACGTAATTACTTCCAGCCGGTGGCACAACTTGATCTAGCAGCTTTATTGATGTTCTTTTCCATATTTTCTTGATCACGGCACGCAATTCTTCATTGGCTTGATCGATATTGCCTGTGAGTGTTATAAGAAAAATTATAAAAAAATTAATATCTAATAATGTTAAAATTATTCTAAACAACATAATATGAATATAGCTCACCACGCCGATACGTGGACATTTTATTATGTTTTGATAGCATTTTTAAAAAGTGTATGCTTCTTGAATCAAATTTGGCTGTTCGATTACGTATATATGTGTAAATGGTATACTCGTATATTGCATTTAAAATACAAGCGAACTTTTACATTGTAAATTCACTGTAAAAACGCTGCATGATTTCGCTTATCAAGTGAAAATTCCAGACATTTAAATTGATAACAAAGGTTGATCATTTCTCGCTGTGTCATTTTTGTCCTTTTCACCACTTTCAAAGTGCGATAATTTTAGCGAGTTAAAATGAATAAATAATTTCGAGTGTACGTCTCCATTTATATAGGGTCGAAATTGTCTTTTTAAATCCATCGATGATAATTGACGTCTTACTTTTTGATTTTTCAACATTGCACATAAAAGGAATGTAGATCATCTAAGCCAGGAGTGGCCATCAAATTAACAAATCATATTGAACATAAAAACTGCGAATTCGTTAAAAATGCGCCCACAGAGCCGAGCTTATTGGCACCGGTGAATTTTTTTTCGTGTGCGTGTGTGCAGTTATATGCATAATCAGTACTCATTCGTTTTTGTGCATGGTCTTATCAGTCGATCGCGAGCTGTTTTGAATAGTCGATCGTGGTCGAAAGCAGGTTGGCCACCCCTCCTCTAAACAACTAGAATATAATTTTTAACTATTCTGCAAAAATAAAATTTTCACGATACCGCTGAGTATACAAAAAAAAATTTCTTGAATTTGTTACTCACCCTCTGATTTGATTTTCAATGACGTGCGAACCAGAGCAAAAAGTGTAGCATTGAACATTACAGTCCCATCGCTATTGAGAGGCATGTTCATAGACACTAGTTTTCTGCAAGCCATTCGTTGTGGACAGAGTTTTCCAAAACCTAGCGGTGGTTGTATGTGACGAAGTAACTTAACAACGTGTAGATGTTTTATCCTGCCACTAAATAAATTGGATAACGAACAAAAATTTATTATTTGGAATAATTAAATGCACATGCAAATCACTGGCTCAAAATTCAAGGACTTACTTTGCTTCGGGATCATATTCAGACCATATCCTAGCAAACTCATCAAGATGATGCAGTCCCAAAATGGACCAATCGCGTGTCAGGTAATCAAAATTGTCCATAATGACAGCGACAAATAAATTAATAATCTGAAAATAAATAATATAACATGTCAATGAAATATAATATAGATAATATAATTAACAGAACAAAAACTTACCAAAAATGCGCATAACATATAAAAGGTAAGAAAATAAGTGTAGGCGAAGTCACTTCCACAGGTAAATTTATCTTCAGGTAAAGCATTTCCAGTAGAATTCCAGTCCGAATAATCATCGCACTCTCGACCGGAAGCGGAAGCAAGCATGACTTCTTGCCATGCTTCCCCGGTAGCACATCTGACAAATAGGAATATAGATAACAATGTATAATATGTAATAAAACATTTACCGAGTTAAATTTTACATAGGAAAAGAAACACACCTGAATAGCAACAACACGGCTTGCAGAAATGTTTGAAAATTATTATTTCTGTTGATTTGTTCTTCATCCAATGGCTTTATTTTTCCAAATATTTGCATGCCAATGACGGCGTATATGAAGAATAACATGACAATAAGCAGAGCGACATAAGGAAGTGCCTGAAAAAAAAATATCGTTAAAAATAAATTCAAAAATGAAGAAAAATACGAGCCACAGCCGCCATATTCACCATATATGCATCTGAAACAAACAACCAGTCAACTAATCTCATACACGACATGGATTGGTAACCGAGCGAGAGGCCCTGGTACACCATATATTTAAGCCCCGTATCGTCCTTTTTGAGATATCGTGATAAATAGGTAAATCGTATCCACATTCACTATACATACTTGTTCTTTTACATATATTTAAGATATCAATAGCTGGCTATGAAAAACAAGTAACTTACTTGAAATGACTTTATGAAAGTCCACAATAATGTTCGGATACCTTCTCCTCTGCTGAGTAATTTGACAAGACGTAAAACACGAAATAAACGAAAGAAATTGATACTGAATGATTTTTCACTTCCCTGAAATGAATATACATTCGATCTTTACAATTTTAAAATTACTAAGAAAACACACATGTTTTCCATCGTTGGAGAAACAGCAAAATGGAGTACTTTATTGAAGTCTTAAAATTTGTGAGATTGTATAAAATTTAGAATAAATAAACTAAAATCATTAGTTTTTGCATAACCAAATTTTTCCAGTAAAGTGAACTCGAAAAAAATTGGACAAAATTACTCCATTTACCACATCGTCTCAAATAAATGACGAAATCAATGAAAGGGATCATATAGAACTTAATATATCACCACAAACATGCATATGGCTCAGGTATTATAACTATATAACTATACAACTACATAACTATATGTAATATAGATTTCAAATCGATAACATCTTACCTAGTTTTAGTTGAACGTAATCTTACAAGTTGCATGCATAGCAAATGATGTATAATTTCGAAAGCAATGCACCAATGCAGCCGACACAAAAACATAGATTCACAATAATTTATCATGCAACGATATGAATGAACTACATATATTAGTAGTAAGCAACAAAGAACATGCATGATTTAAACATATATATATATATATATATATAATTTACTATTAAAGATTAGTATTGAGTTTCACATCTGTCATACGAAACGTTACTGAATCAAATTTGCGATTTTAATATAGCACTTTGATTCTTGCCACAGCATCCTTGCAGTTAGTACATAGGGACAAACATAAAGGCGTAGAGAATTGAGGAGTAGTACCTACTTCAACCAACCAAAGATTACTTCTATTGCAAAAATGTGATTTCCGAAAAAAGAGAGTTTCAATAAATAATTCTTGTCTGTTAACTTATTTCCTCTAAAGATACAATGCAATAAAATCAAGGAGTATTTCTAATGAAAGTGGGCTTCAAACAAAATGAGCTATTGCAAATAGGTGAGTGTGAATTTCGGCTTCAAATCAAATGATCGTTCAGAATTTGCAGTGTGTCTGTGCATGATAAAATGAATTCCATATAAATGAATGTTTATTATTTATTGATAATTTTCGATGCATTCTGATGTGTGTCAGTGGCCACTCACAGTATGTTTGACGATTGCCAAAACAACGTCCAATAAACTTCCTAAAACAATCAAGGCGTCGAATACATTCCATGGATCAGCGCAATAATTCTAGAGAAGACAAATTCGAGAGAATTCCGGAAAGGAGACAAATGAAAAAAAGAGACACAAAAGAGATTTAAAAAAAGAGACAAGAAATGGAATTCGGACGTTTTGCTATATTGAAATGTTGTTGAAATAATACACGGGTAACAGGTCTTCAACGGGTAAAAGAATAGAATATCATTTCTCATGATTATTTAAGAATTAAAAAAGTATGATATATGGGAAACTATGCTCTGATCAAACTTAACAACGGATTTCGTTTATCTGAAGTTATCGACTTTGTCAATGCAAACCAGCTTGCATTGACTATGTGCTCCCGCCCACGCGGGGTTCAAGCTTCCCAGTGTCTCAAAAATGTTGAGACCCACTTGTTCCACACTTGTAACACTGTTTTGGGTTAGGATATATGAAGTATATAGCAAGATTCATACAATTTGGAAAAGTGGTACACCACATTTTTGAGACACCTCAAGTTGCCTCCTGATTGAAAAGATCAATCCCACAAATTTATTTCCAAGTACATCCGTATCCACCGGGCTGTACCTCGAACTTCCTCACAGTGATTAGAACATCATTTGCCACTAGGTACTTAATCGAGAGTGAAACATTCCCCCTTTTAAAATTTTATTAAATGAATGAAAAACACCCTTTTACACGACTTACGCCATCATTACATTCTACAATACATTTCACATTTAAGTGTCTGTCTACACCACACCACAATGTGTTCTAATATGAGCAAATGCAATTGTTAAAATTGATAAATAATAGAGACAGATTGCATACATCAAAAAGTTAGTGGTACTAGTATTGCAAATCCATTAGTCGATACGCAAACAGACGCAAGGTTGCGTACACACATACGAACGGAGAGATAGAAGAAAGACACCAACTACGTGCTCCAATAGTTTGCGTATATACTTACGACGTGAAACTCGGAGAACACAATGTCGACTAAACTGCCTATCACAATGAGCGCATCAAAAACGTTCCACGGGTCTGTTAGATATTGCTGTACCACGGGTAACAAGCGAAAAAGATGAAAAAATAAATTATCGGAGAATTGAAAAATAAATTATAATATTGAAATTAAAAAGTAATCAGATATACTTTGAATTTAAACAAAATTATAAAAAGTGAATCGAAAATGAATATTCCAAGCTTTATTATTATTAAATTAATATTATTAATTCTGAAAACGGGAACAAAAAAGAAAAATTGTCATATGTTATAAAAAATATATAAATATATATCCGAGTTCAAAACTTACCCTTGGTTTGAAGGCGATTAATTTCACAATCATTTCTAATGTAAAAAGTGCAGTAAATACAAAATTCATCTTGTTGAGAACTGCAGTCAATTGTTCTGATTGTTCGTAATGCTAAAGTTTAAAAACAAAGAAGATACAAAAATGAGGTTTATTTCATCATGGAAATTATTGTTAAGGTACTTATATCAATCAATCGAAATTCAAAATAAATTTGTCCGAACAGTCGACGTATACTAATAAATCAAAATAAGAAACAAAGCGGTTTAAATTTAAGCTGAGATAAACTAAATATAATTTTACCTGAACTGCTAAACATATTGTATTGAGGAGAATTAAGACCAACATAAAATATTCAAAATATGTTGAGTTTACGACGAACCACACTTTATATTGGTGTCGATTTTTGGGGATGTAACGCTTTACTGGCTTCGCTTTTAGTGCATATTCTAAACATTGTCTCTGAAAAGCAAAATATTTATAACATGTTAAATACTGGGAATATGATTTGTATACAAGCTTACCCAAGGCAAGGTAACGTTAAAAGGCTGTTGTTATTGACGATCGCTGAAATCTGATAGAGACACCCCTTTTGAGTGTCTTAAAAATGCCGTGTTTGACATTCGTTCAAGTTGTATGAATCTCACTTCATATGAATACTCACTCCAACCTCCCGCTGAAATGTTATATCAATCCCCACCCAGTAAATCCCATTTCAACCACGATAACGATATTTAACTCATAACAGTGGACAGATAGGACACGGCGTTTTTGAGATATCGCTGTTTTCATAGAGTTACTACATCGATAGAGAAGACGATGTTTCAGTATACGTTATATAAAAATTATATTTTAGATTGTACGATCATTAAGCGATCGCTTAAACGAAATGGTTACTAAAGTTCCATTACTGGTTTGCTGATGTTCTCGAACTGACTTGTTACGGATGGGGATGATAGTACAGTATGCTTCAAACGCCCTTTAAATAGCCTCCTCGGTAAAGGGCAAATTGAGCTTAGCCGGGTATGCTATGAAACTGTAGTATAATATCGGATATTTTTTATGTTCTTACCCTAGGAATAACATTGTAAGATGATACCTGATTTTTATCCAACTCGCAATTTTTATATTCTTGTTCTCCCTGTTCTTGAAACGTGACGATGACAAAACCAACAAAAATATTCATCATAAAGAATGCAATGACGATGATGTAAATAAAATAAAACAATGCAACTGCGGGACGAGCATCATATTTAGGTCCGTGATCTTCTTCCCAAGAGTCGATAGATTTGTACAACAAGCTGAAGGTAACGTATTAGAATAAATGTTAGAATTTTACAATAATCAATAATTTTACATTATTTACAAAGAAAGAAACCCAAACATTGAAATCGTACTTCAAATCACTGTCCCAAGCCAGGTGGTAGTAAAAATAGGTCGGGGCGAGACCCGAAGTACTGCACCTCCAAGCTGTCAGAAATATAGTTAGTTTCGAGCCAATTCCACAATGGCACTAATCTCCAATTTTGTTTATCAAAATTTCATCGACAAACATAAACTTCTAAAGCATTTGTATGATAGCTAGATGCACTCGTGTAAATGCATTGAAAAACGTCTTTCAGAAAATAATTGATAATGATGATGGGTTTTAAATAAACATAGAATAGAAACGTTGTACGGCTTTTGTTATGACTACTTAGAATTCAACAAAAACATGAGCGTCACACTTTATATCCAATTCTTTGCTTACCCAGGCCATCCCTCAAACGTTGCAACGACGAATAAAGCCAGCATAGCGTTCATGACATTGTCATAGTTGAAAGGACTGTTTTCCCAAACCCTTTCTACGACGCTTGGTTGGCTATGCCGGTCGTTCGAATACACAAAGTAATTTCCCCTAAATTAAACAAGTTTAAAATTAGTCTACTGTATTGTGGGAGTTGAATCAAAAAAACGCAATTTTTTCATTGGGAAAGAGAAATGGTAATTTTCCAGCAATGCAATGATTTTGCAGTAAACTTACTAGCATTTTCTCTATTTAATATTAAGTTTATTGAACAAACGCATTGCCCAAATAAGGACTTGAATCTTAATTTCTCAAATTGTTTTATTCAACGACGTCAAAAATTCTTTTTTATTTCTAGTACCCAACAAAACTAGGAGAGATAAAAATGGATGAAATCAACTGTCGAATCAACACAAACAACATACTGGCATTCTTCTTGGGTTTGTTTAGACTGATCTGTACAAGAATACAATCTTCCTTTGAAAAGCTGAACACCAATACAAGCGAACATAAACTGTAGTAATGCTGTGATAATGAGAATGTTTCCGATGGTACCTGAAAAAATACAATAAAAGTTTAAAAAACACTCAAAAGCAATTAATTTCCACATTCTTTACCATTTATCTAAGATATCATGAGAGAGAAGATATATTCAAATTCATCTATAACCTTTAACACTCGAATAGGCATCACGTGTTTCTCGGCTGACGACAATTTTTAAACTTACATCTTATTTATCTGCACTGAACTATAGGTTAATCCGTACTTACGCGACTGGTGACGTCATTGGGGCTGCTGCCAATAACGAAATTCAGAAACTCACCGCAGCAAATTAGCAATATGCGCATTAACTAAGTAGTGTGGGGAGTGCTTTCTAAATATATTTATTAATTAGGCTGTCTTTGTATAGTTGAAGTGACTCTTTCGATTATAAAATAAATTCGTACTTTGTCACGCGTTGGTCGAATTCGCCCCTCAAGATTCTAACGTTTTATATAGATCGGATGGGTTTATTAGAAGTATACAAATATCAACACTTCCAAAGTTCCAATTAAACCAACTACGGTAATGAACATCCAGGCTCTTAATATTGATATTCGACAGTGTCAATTCGAAATTTACAAATAGCGGCGTTTAACATATCAGCTTAATATTCGCTTTAAAATGTGAAAGGTATTTTATATATTAACCGGATTGTTTGTGTTTTGGTATGAACTCTAGACTTAACCCAAGTATAAGTACATTTAGATAAGAATTATATTGTGTATCACACCCTGAGATTGATCTTGTCAAACAAACAGGTCTCTGAAGTCCCGTAAGTTTTCTCCCGCAATGGCTCACTACGACAACCGTGCTAACTAACCCTTATGGTATAAATTATAATAATATTTACAAAACATTCTCATCAAATGATCTACTACGCAACCGATGTATCGTCGTTCCCAACTATTATGCGTTCGGGTAGATAGAAAACTTCAAATGAACTTCAGTTCCAAATGGTTAGAGTAGGCATATAGGGTGGGACTTATACAATTGGGACGATGATAAAATTTACCAGTATGGGACAGTGTGGTACAAATAGGACAAATATGGAACACCCCTACATAACCACCAGAGTTAACTTACTTATTGCCACAAAAACACACTGCACGACGTGTTTTAATCCCTTTGCTCTGTTGATAGCACGTAAAGGTCTCAATACACGTAACACACGAAGAATCTTGACCACAGAAAACGTATCCGAACTGCAAAAAAAATCGTATATTTAAATAAAAAATGAATACTAATCAAAAGAAATATGACATGTTATATGACAACCGACTCTAAACTACATGATTTATGCACGACACAGAATTAGTTATTACTAAAAGGATAATTTCATGAGGGAATAATGACCATTAAACAAAATGAACCTATTACCAAACATATTGAAAATTATGAAAAATTCACTTAAATCCAACGGTATTATTATTCATCATTCTACCAATGTGTAGTATGAAAATGACAAGATCCTTCAAAACATATCATTATACTATACTCACTTGCTGAGCATTGATATGAGAGAGACAACGACGACCAATAAATCGAGTAAATTGAAATAATTTCTACAAAAAGATCCTTTGTGAAAAACAACACCATAAGCTGTCATCTTCAATACAATCTCAATCGAAAATACTCCGGTGAAAACGTAGTCGAAATATCTGAAATAAATTTTTATTCATTGCCATCACTGTTGCCATGAAAACATAATGACAGGGTCAGAAAATCCCGTTTAATTGAAATGTGAAAAGGAGTATCGAATATTCGTAAACTCATGGCGGCATGAAGTCTCACAGCTGGAATTTTTTGTCATCAAGAACAATTATAAAAATAATCTAAAAATACACCCAGAAAACTTTATCTATACTCCCATCCTTTTATAATCCATATTTCTCGCTTGTTATCATATTTATAAATTTCCGATGCAATACTCACAGCAAAACTTGATTCCTTGGTGAATTAGGGTTGATCGGATCCTCGCAAGCTAAAGCAATACTGCTCAATATGATACAAGCTAATATACCATTGTTGAACCAATTGTCGTTCACAACACGATGACAAAATACTCGAACACTAGAAAGAAAATACATAATTTTGTACACTGAGAAATTGGAATGAAAGTAGGTAGAATTTTAAATAAGTAAAATATTCATCTCTAATAGTTTATTTCACACGGACTATATTTTCTCAATTTCCTTTGTTTCGTTCTCAATTTTGGAAGCTTTCATTTGAGGATACTGGATTTACAGTTCCATACTAGTATTCTGTATTTGGTGGCATATGGGGCTAGTATATTGAGGATTGTAGTGTCATGAATACACAACAGAAAAGTTATGTCATCAAAATAAAGTTCTGTACTTATGTTCAGTGAAGTTGCAAGATTATCATAACAGTCACTCAAAGTGGTTTGCTGTGTGTGTACAGCTTTATTTTCTAACAAATAAAAAGGATTTTGTGAAGTATTTCTTGCTCAAAACAGCTATCACAGCGAGTGGAAACGTGAATTTCGGCCTCTCAATTTAAAAGATAAAATCTCATCCTATCCCCACAGTTTAATTTCACAAAACACCTACGTGTTAGCATGCATCGTTTGAAGAGAATGATTCAATTGATACGCTCCAATACGTGTATGCGTTGTAAAAGGTGTAATCGTTAACTATTATTCAGACAAGACACATTGCAGGCTTAAATTTTGGGGAAGGTGAGAAATTATTGCTTTGTAATCCGCAATAATGATACAGTTGCGCAGTAAAGTAATCCTCTTGCGGTTTTTCTAGTTTGTGATTCCTAGTTCATAATCTGTTTTATTACACCATAATAAGTTATTTTACGACTTAATTGGAAAATTGTTTGCCCGCCATCACAAGAAGTGAGGTAAATTGAATGCCGGGCTATGCCACTGATACCAATGAGGTCGCAATAGCCCCTCGTTCATTCTAGCTGTGAATTATTAAAGTAAACATTACAAATTATAATTACGTATAGGTCAGTGTGTTTATTGTATACCCACAAGCCTCGCAAACTGAAGTTACTTTTTAATTGTGATTTTATACTTAGTTACAAGGCAGTAAAGTATAAAGACAAATTTATTTTCTATTGAATAATCTTAATTTTCAGTTAATATTCTCAAGCCCTATTCGTACTGGGGGCAACCAGTTTCGCAAGGGGGCCCACAATAGACAAGACCGGCCCTGCCTAGAATATTTCATATTTGAAGAAATGCAGAAAAACGGTAATTTCCTTGTATATATGTATATATATTGAAATGTTATACTTACGGGTTTACATTGCTCAATATAAAAAATGCATATCCTTCCGGCATTGGTACAACTTTTTCCTTCAAATGTAATTCCGACATTCGTCGAGGTCTCGGTCCCGCCGGTATTTCTGGTTCCGATTCATTGTCGCTCAATTCGGGCAAATGTTTATCCGAATTCGTATCTGATGCTCCAGTTACCTCGATCCTAGAGAGCAAAACAAACCTTGTCGTAAGCATCGCCAATTGTTCAATGTTGGATTCATTGTGAGGCGCTCCAGAAGTGTGTGTACCAATATGGAAGTAACTAATTTTGTTCTCCTACTTTACATCAAGTTGTGTAAAGAGACTGAAACCCATGGACAGAGGGTATATTCGTTTGGCTAACACAGACAGTCCTCGAACTCGTAATAGAACTAAAATAAGGAAAATCGGAATAAAATTATGGCCTAACCCTAACCTGGTACACACACTACCGAAGTACCTATTGTGACAACTGTCAGAAAAAAAACCTTAGTTGAAGAGAATTATGTCGCATTCAGTATATTATTTTAGCTGACTACGATTTTATTACCTTATGTCTTCATAATCGTTTATGTTTGTTTCCTCATCGACTCTACTCAATGCATCTTCTTTGCCCAGCTGATCAGCTTCTACACTCAATTGTTCTTTTTTTTTAAATAATTTTCTAAACACAGAAATAGATTAAATTTTCGGAGATTACATCGCTTAAAACTGATTGAATTTGTATAAAATTTATTCACAAGAATTAAAGCTTAATCACATCTATTGCTTCCAGAATGGCATTGAATATCAGATCAGTTATCAAAAATTGATAATTTTGAAATAAACTGATTTTAATTAAAACTAGAAGTTAATTAGTATTCAGATCTTAGCTTCCATGTAAAATGAATGAAACTGAAATAGCAAAAACTTTAGCATAAAAAAAGTTTATTTGGGTAATGATTTGTAATGTTAGGAAGAAGTCCTAAACCTCGAGTCAGGAGTTAAGTCGGGTCACAGCCATACGAGTCTAGAATAGAGTCCGAAGTCGAGTCAATCACTAAGTTGTGTAACGTCGAGTCGCGGCCATACGAGATACGGATGGAATCCGAAGTTGAGTCAATGGCTAAGTTGATTCACGGCCATACGAATTTTGAATAAAGTCCGAAGTCGAGTCAATCACTTAGTTGAGTCAAGTCGAGTCACGACCATACGAGTCACGAATGGAATCCGAAGTCGAGTCAATCACTAAGTTGAGTCTCACAGGCGGTTATCTGATAACGAGTACGAGTCATTTGATTTGAATGTCTCGAGTCACATCGGGTCTTCGATAAATCGTGCTCGATTCGAATCAATAACTCGAGTTTTCATAACACTAAAAATATTCCTATAAACTGTTGAATAAAATTCTGTGTATATACAAAAGAATGCATTTAAATAGAATAGAATCACGCCCTACGTACCGAAGTTTTTTGAGTCTCATTGTTTTCTTCCTTTTAATTTCTTCTTCTTTCTCTTTCTGGGCAACACCAAGGCTTTCAGCATCTGCTAAGTTATCAACAGCAATAGCCAAGAAGACATTCAATAAGATATAGTTTCCTCCGACAAATAGAATAATGAAATATACTGAAGTAAGTAAACCAATCGTTTTTGCTCCACCATAAGCCTCAATGCCGTTGTACATCACCACATTCCAGTCTTCACCAGTTAGAATCTGGAAATGTAAATATTGTGTGAAAACGTTCATCAGATGTGTAGTGATGTCTTTGGAAGTTTCGTTTGCGAAATCTTAGGCTAGTTACTATGGGATATACGCAGGCTTGTTCATGTGAATGGGATTCCCATGGGAAACGTCCCATGGGATAGGACAGCACACATTTGTATTTCTCATGGGACGCGTGGGACACCACAACCGTATGATCTTCGGGGAAATGACGGTAAAACATTTGGTTATAGAAATCGTGTCCATATATTTGAGCATAGCTCTCTCGTTAGTTATAAAGAGCAAAATATATTCAGCATTAAAAATATACTTCGTGAAGGGGCTGATGGACACGTGTATAATAATTATGAATATAAAGTTAACAAATTCCGTAAATTTTGTTGTTTTGCATGTTTATTCGTACATGTAGTTCTATTTAGTAGACGCTGAACCTAAGTTTAGCAATTTTTATTGAATTTTATTTCAATGGGAATCTCATGGGATGGGATGGGATGGAACAGGCATAATTGCTATGGAATGGGATGGGAATGGGACAGAAAAATATGTCCCATGGACAACCTGGATATACATTAATTTATGCCGTTAAAGACGTGCATTGGTGCTACACCTGGGTGGGAAAACGCAAATTTTTAATTAGAATATTGTTTTGTCAACATTATTCCATGCCTCTATAATGAAGCCACTAAGCCCCGTTGGTTGCCTGTACGTTACACAAGTTATTTTGTTGTGATTATGAAACGCGCAAACATTAAGTATTACGTTTAACTCCCCATCGCTGATGGAAATATAGCTAATCAGCCTAATAATCAAGTCAAACAGACTCAAAAATTAACACACCACAAAATTTATAAGATAAAATTGGAATTTTCTGTGAATCTCCCTTATGTAGGAAGGTCTTTTGCGTCATTGTGAGTAATTCTATCAAATAATACAGTGTACCTGAAACACGGTGAGTAGAGCTTGTGGAAACGTGTCAAAGTTCGATCTGATTTTTACGTCTCCTTCGGCTATATCACCAAATCTTCCACCAAACAATTGCATACCAAGAAGTGAGAAAATTATAATAAAGAGAAATAGGAGGACGAGTAAACTTGCGATGGAACGAATAGAATTGAGAAGAGATGCGACGAGATTGCTCAGTGAATTCCAATACCTAAAGAACGTTTGAGGATTAGTTGTAAAATTTCAGCAAATTGATTTAAATTAATGCGTGTGAAACACAATATCACGTAAATGCTAGCAAATGTACACAATAATCAATCCGCAAAATACCACTGATTCTCACCTGTTATCAGATAAGAAGAGATACAATCCATCAACTAGTTGATTTGTAGGTTATTTGATCTATGGGGTAAACACCATCGTTTTGGTACACAATTTTCGGGCTTAGGGACAAGTTACAGTTTCAATTTTTTCCAGATTCCGAATTCGGCCGATCCAGGTATTCATTATGATATGAGTACGCGTTTACAAAACAATTGATAAATTTACATTAACATTATAGACAATATTTACATATTTACAAATCTAATTATAAAACCAAGTCCGATGTGTGAATCAGGACATAAATCCTGGTCACGGGTATCATGAAAAACAATTAATAGTCGTCTGATACGATGAAATTTCCCTGAGGGGATTTTTGCGATATGTTTGGATATAAAACTACTTTTAAACGTTTCATTAGTCGATATAACTGAACAAAGGTTGGTATGCTAAAAATGGCTCTCTCTTTTCAAATCGCAATGCAGGCTTGCATTGAACAATGCTTTCTACGCCGAAGGACCAAGAGTGAAATGTAAAGATGTTCATATGACCTCAATCGTTGTCTGATTGGCCTCCCCAGTACGAATTTTGATAATAGTCCAAGTATTTTCATTAACGGGTAAACGCACTGTTTCGTCAGTAACACTAATCTACTATGAATTTATGGACTCTTAGACCAGATTAGTATTTTTATTCAGACTGACAGCATGAGCAAACGCCTTGTTATTGAACTTCAAAAACGGTCCATGTGTCAGACAATAAAATGCTCTGATATTTTGATTTGATTAAACTGTATATATGAATCTCCAGCTTGCTATAAAACTGTTTTGGGTTTTTGAGTGACGAAATCGTTTATAATAAAATTAACGATTTCATACACAAAAAGGGTGGTCCTTGATCAATGATGAATGAATTACAAATTTGTCATCAGATTTATAATGAGTAAGATACTACATGTTTACCCGTATTCGACAACCACACCGGAAATCTTACCTCGTCATTTTGAAGATTCTCAACAAACGAACACAACGTAACACAGAAATACCGAGTGGTTCCATAACCTAAAAAATAAAGATAGTTCTAGATATTTCCGATACTTTCTGGTGTCGTAAGGGTAATGTACATTGGCAAGAAGGTCGGAAAACACGGAGCGTTAAACTCTGTTTAGTAAAATTTAGTAACTTCGTACCTAAGAAATATTATTATAGTGTGTGGTGATATCATTGTCGGATGAATTAATTTATAGACACGACACTATGGCAAAAATCGAATTTGACCAAATTAATTTTGACAAGTTGAAAATATGCGAAGTCAATTTCTTTCCACAAATTTCATATCCTTTGGTCTAATTTTAATAGATGTTTTTGCTTATTTTGAAGAACAAACAATATTTACCTCAGAGTTCGTTAAAACGAGTTCAATTATTCCTCCCCAAACCACAAAACAATCAAATCTGTTGAACAAGGATACAAAATACTGTTGCATTCCTAATGAGTACATTTTCAGCAACATTTCCAACGTAAACAGAGCAAGTAGAATTTTGTTTGATAAATCTAAAAAAGTAAACAATTAGAAATTAGGAATATATATGGGATTCGGGAATTCGATTTTAGAAATTTCCAAATTAGGAAAAATCATATACATACAAAAGCTCATAGAAATTCCAGCTTGCAAACATTTGAGTTGGTTAGGTGGCATGATGGCTTAGGCGCTATGATAGAAGCATTAGACTTAGCTGTTTTGTCATCGCAGATCACACATTTCTGATTCGAATTTCATGCCTACCATCTCATCCAGGTTGTAATTAATTTTGTAGGCAATTTCAAATAAGTGCTTTGTATACTTCCAGAGCTTTTTAGTCGATTGTCAATTTTTCGTCGATAATACAATCGATCTTTTTTGCAATTCAAATGTGTTTCAGATAGATTTTTGTCTATGCCTATACCCGCCATCAGACGACAATAATCCGAGTTTTATTAAATTTTGAGAAACACAAAATAAACTATTTGCCTCTTTGTTAAACAGGTTATCTCCAGTGGTCAAAATTCGTGACAAAATACCAAAATTCTAACTCGTATGGATTTGTAAATCCCGCTTTGGAAACATATTATAAGAGAAACAGATCAAAAACCCTCCGACAATTGTTTTCATTTGTTCTAACCAGTGTAAATCCACTTGACTGTAATAACAAAATTGTATGGAACTCGGAGTATTCATTAATGCGATATGTTTTGTGCGTCAGTACACAGCCGAGTACAATCGGGTTTGTTGCAAATTAATTGTGAAGAATCAAAAGTATAGTACTACGCAATATACTGTGAAGACGTATCAGTAACAAACTAATACAGATAATAAAATATAGTGTCATAATGCTATTTTCATTATGCATCGTAAACAAGTGTTATGTACGTAGAGTTAACCTAGAAATCTTTGTTAAAATTGATGAAATTTGCATAATATTTTTATCATTTTTAAATCTTCACCTGCAGATAACAACAATTGTAAGTTTATTTTGTACCTTGCACCACGGTTAACCAATAAGGTTGTTGATAGTGTTCTGTAGCTAAAGACAGTGTATTGAGAAATACAAGTACGATGACAACCCAATAAAATCCTTTTGATTTCACCATCGTCCTACATTTTCGTCGAGTCTTGCGGTTCCATCGCCGCCATCGTCGACTGTAACATATTATTTTTATGAAATTTACATTTATCTTCGTGGCTCATATACTCAACACTTGTGGGTCTTTGCTCTTCAAAAAAATTACTTGGTTTCGCTTTTAACGGGCTTCGCTTTTTACGTTTATCACTCACAACGGCAACAAACGAATACAAAAGATAAATGCATTTCAGTGAAAGAATTAAACAAATCACATTCAATTTACTTTAAATTAATTTAGTCATCGCCAATGGAGTGAAGGCATTTGCTTGTGGCCCCCAGAGAACCGATGCGTGAGCCAAATGCAGAAAGCTGTTCGCTGTAATGAGCGATGGTGTTTTCAACCATTTATATAAATACTAAAATGCAGCTGAGGGTGCAAGCACTCTTTCGAATGATGAACTTTACAGTAGACTAACAGCACATACAATTCCACATTGTACAAAACATATATTACGGATGATAAATCAGACCTACCTGTAGCAGACTTTAAACAATTTTCTCCTGTTTGAAGATTTGTCAAGTATTTATAACGAAACGACGATGGTGAAACAATACGGGTGACAACATAAAGAAGCAAAAGAAAAAAAACACATAAGAAAATGAATTTACAATCAATATATATGCATGAGATATAATGAATACAGAACGTAAACATATTATTTGAGAATGAATAAAACGAAAAAGATACATAGAAGCAATGGTAAACATTTTTGATGGTGAATAGTAAGATTTACTGTTTAATAATACTTTGATTATCATTTGTAGAGTCCTAGCAGAGGTGGCCTGGCGTATGGTCTCGTATACAAACGCACTTCGAAGAATAATACCTAATCTATAAATTCGTCCAGTTATATTACTATTGCAAATAAGATAAATAAGGCTTGAGCCTTCTTACATTAATATTACATGACTAGTATTTAAATATGAGTAAGATATATCTGATAGAACAGCTTCCAGTCCCTAAAACTATATTGCATTAGTGGATATCATTAGTCGGGGAGAATAGATGAAACAACACAACCATCTAACGAGGATCTGGATTTTTAATACAATGACGACTATTTTTCTCGTCGTTGGCTAAGCTACCGGCTTAAAGATAACGAAAACAAGTAACCCTTAATATCAAGCTTATCATCTATGTATATCAGTTTTACGCACATCATCGACCAAAAGTAAAATATCACATGTATATTAAATTATTCTAGAGATTTATGTTTCGACATCAAATATCTTACTTTATATTTAGTTTACCCCATGCAAATAAGTTCTAAATGGATTTATACTACAGTAGCCCAGACACGTCGCATAAATTAATCCACGACATTTATGTACTGGCATGTGCGAAGATTTCAAGATAAACAAGAGGGCAATTCTTAAATATATGTAACAAAAGCCAAAACGTAGTAGTACGGGTATGTAATCTTTCACAGTACTGGTACAGTACCGTGGTCAGTGCTCGGAGTCTCTTTTCTGTAACAAATATGGTTTTGGACTTTAATATATTAATTTATATATTGTTCGACTTATTTCTATTAAACTTGTATCGAAGTTAGACTTTTATCGCAGATGTCGCTGATCGATAACCAACTTTGTTTTTTCGCGGCATCCTTCGCCGTGAAATGTCATTTTCAACTTTTTTTAAATTTATGTTCACAGTAAGTGCATTTTTATTTTGGTGAAAAATAAACTACTGACTGACTGTGACTGACCACCACAGCGCAACGTGTGCGAACGCGGAACCGCCACAAGGTGCGCAATATTTAATTTTGATGATGCAATCTAACACAAAAATGAATTTCATAGAGCCCACACAAGTTTTTGAAATAAATAACAATATTAGCCTTCTATTGACGACAGCAATCTTTAACCACTGACAATTTCATAGCAATTGGTCTCTATAGTAATTAAAAAGGAAAGAGATTTTTTCCATAGCAACAAGACGAATAAAAAGTAACAACAACAACAAAATACCAAAACGACATATATGTCCGCTTCGTGTTTAATAACACAGTATATACAATGTATAAAAAGAGATTAGATACAAGTATGGAATTTTAGATTTTTGTATATTTAAAAAATTATGTATATATGATTAATATACAATTATATTATTACAACACAATTATTGACGTATTTTCCAATAATATTGTTCATGTAGTGTTGCAGATCTTTGTTCAAACTACGATGTCTGTCACCTTAAACAAATTATATAATGGACTACGCTGAACAGAATAAGGAAATTTTTCTTTACACACTCCAGCAGCGTTTCTGCAGCCAATTAACTTAGTTTTTGCCAGGCCGAAACATTTCGTAACAAAGGAAATTGTTTAATCAACATTGCGGAGAAGTTTAGCCAACATTGAACTCACGTATAAGGACTACTTATATAAAATGCACATTTGTTTATTCAACAATCAAATGGGCGATAAAATACGCGTTGCTTCATACGAAATGAATAATGTTAATGGGAAAATTGTACAAAAGATAATCGCCGAGGAGCGTATTTTTGAAAAGCAGATTTAGGATTATATGAATATAAAAAGTCACTATTAAGTCACTTCAAGTTGGTTTATGTTTTCAATATTTAAAGTCACAGTCGAACATTGAGATCTTCCAATTTTTAGTGTTTCAGATCGCGTTTCAAGAGGTAAGGAGAAAAACGAACAAACTTTCTACACACGAAAGTGTAGACCGATAAACTTCAATATGAGGGATAGGGAATTCCACGGGAACATCTCAGTGTCCTGCTATCATGTATCACTTTTTCATTTAAAAATTAACGAACTGATCAGGGTTCATTTCTAAGTTCGAGTTCAAGCAACCGCAAACCTGAGTGACGCCAATTTTAGATCGCTAATAATTGCCAACGACAATTTAGTTATTATTTGATAAGATTTTAATTACCCTGTTTGTTGCATGGCAAATTAAACAGCCAAGTTATGGATATTGATACAATCTACATTGGATCACGCTATAAATGCATTTGGTCAATCATACAACGTAGAAGAAGCGCAACATAGTTTTACCTACGATTTCCCTACCGAGATAATTTGTGTAGTAAGGGAACATCTGGCCTAAACAAATTTGCAATTGAAACAGTTTATTTATGGAACACCAGCATGCATATGCAGTGTGCTGCGAAGGTTGTTATTCCCATGGGCTGCCGTAGGAAAGCAAAGGACACATCATCCTACTACAAAATACAAAGATGCGATACAAAACTCGAATGATGACAATGGACAAAAACACTGAGCCGATTTACGCATGTGGTGTTTACGGCAAACTGGAGAAATCCAAAGTTATTCTTTACATATTCAACAATAACTGGTGTTCTAAATCCCTAAAAAGCATAGCCGCCTGCACAAAGTAGGGGTCATTCCATAATAGGAAACACAGGTAAAATTCATCTTAATCTTATTAAGACATGCCTCACTTATTTGGTTCTTAGGCAGTTCGCCTCATCAAATTGAATACGATCTTTTATGTTTGAGTATACGGAGTTTTGCCTAGTATTTACAAAAATTAAGAAAAAAAATTAGTTAAACTTAAAATTTCCAGATTGATTCAAATCTGGTTCACGTTAAACGATGAGTTAGTACTGACAAGGTCACTTACCGCTGCATCTGCCACCAACTTTCGTCTAATTGCATTCCAGAAACGTCACTCCCTACTTCATCCAATTGGTCGCTACTCACTGAAAAATTAACAATAACACTCAATTTAAAATGTATTAGGAAGTGCTTTAAAAGGCTTTCTAGAAGTGTGTGTACCAATGTGGAGGTAACTAATTTTGTTCGCCCACTTTACATCAAGTTGCATAAAAGGACTGAAACCTATGGGCAGGTGGTATATTCACTTGGCCAACACAGACAGTCCCCGAACTCGTAATAGAACTGAAATAAGAAAAATCGGAAAAAATTATGGTATACACACTACGGGTGTACCCTTTAAAATACAGGTAACATAAGACAAGTTCGCCGTTGCTATAACGTCATTATTTTGCAGTGTACTTTTTTCAAAGCTGGAGATTGTATACGATTTATGGAGCTAATATGTAAAGGGGACAATCGATTTCCTGACAGACGGGTAGGGTAATAAACTCGTTGCGCCATGTGAATCCTCGATTTGTTGTAGTAGAGGTAGTTCGCTATAACTACATTTCAGTCAGTTTTACCATACGCATAAAACCGTGTGTCGGAATGGTTTAAAAACACCTACTTCGATCATCCCTTCCATCTTCATCATTAACAGGTTCAATATCTTCAGCTTGTGTGATCCAATCCATGTATCCTCTCATATCTTCATCTACTTGTTGTTTTTCTCGTAATTTCTGAAACTCACCACGAGAATTTGCTTTTTCTCTTTCCTTAGAAAACTCCCTGAAATTTAAATAGGTTGATAGTTAACGAATTGAGTACATCTATATACTGTTAGAATGTCGACAGATTTGACCAAATCCAAACAAGTATTTAGTAAGATCCCTAAATCCCGGACCTCGAATTTAGTCGAGTCAGGAGTCCGAGACACGAGTCGAACCAATCATTGAGTTAGGTCTCACTGGCAGATAGTTGGGTACGTGTCCAAGTTTTTCATTTGAAGTATTCGATCGACTTCGAGTTTGAGTTAAATGACGACGCGAGTTCAATTCGTGTCACAATTCGGTACATATTATATGAGCTATATTTTTACGTTGGTAAGGCCAATATATTTCTCTATGTTTCGTTAATTTTATAGTCAATTTTTGTTTAACAATTGTTTGTCCAACTTTACTGGATAGATCGATCTTCAATACACTATGAACACAGAATTTGTATAAACCCAACTAATATACTTGGAATGCGCGTAGGTTCAACTTTTACGTAAGCTAGCTAACTTATTTTTTAAATCATCTAGTTACGACGCTCAATTGACTGCAAACAGAGGCATTGGTTAGTCCTTAGTGCATAACATTACTGTGAAATTAATAAACGATCATAATATTGGAAACTAATAAACTTACCCGCTCAATACACCAAGAATGAGGTTCATAACAAAAAATGAACCGATGATTATCATTGATACAAAATATACCCAAGGCATGAGGTTTCCTATCGCATCATTCATCTAGTAAACAAATACACAAATCAAAAACTAGTAACATTATTCTGCAACGTAGGCAAAACTTATTAAAATAAAAAAAGAACAACTTAAAATAGTTTTGAGACCCAACTTCAAATCACGCATTGAAAAAAGATTTGCCACAGACGCAGCTTCAAGATTTTGTTGGACGAACAGACGAGGCCAGCGATTAATATCATGAAATATTAGTGTTGCAGTTGTAATAAATATGATGAACGTTGTTGCGCGTTATATTTTATCTATTTCATTGTCATTCAACCTGTGAGTCATGGCTCGTAGCAAGTTGTAACAAGCCACAAAAATGGTGTGCGATGAACGCTCAGCAAAGCGTCGCCAATAAACATTTGTTATATTGGTCCATAGTCAATGATATTCAGAAAAAAATTATAATTATTACTCGTTTGGATATGTAAAAATTATTTCAAACTGTGTTATATATTTGGCAATTTTAAATTTGCACAAGGAATTAAACTTTAGTGGGCACCGGATGAATATTTGTAACAAGATAAAATAACCGAGACCCATCCAAATGAAGTTTCAGCACTTACCAAATATAGTACGTCCGTCCAGCCCTCCATTGTAATACATTGAAACACAGTTATGATCGCAAAATAAAATGTATCAAAATTAACAATTCCTTTGGCCGGTCCCTGCCAACCGGACAAACAGAGTGTGTCTGGGGGACAGTCGCGACCTGGGTCGCCTTGGGGTGAGCAAGGCATTGGATCGTCTTCGGCAAAAGTGAAGTGGCCTGGAAATAAAATTGATAATTTAAAACAGAAAGATACAGATAGCGTAGTGGAATAAAAATAAAAGAATAGGGAAAAGGCTATGAACAATAAAGCGATGTTAAAATATATGGGCACGAAGTAGTACGGGTATACAGTCTGTCACAGTAGCCTGCCGGTACCCAGTGTTCACGACTTCGCTGGACCCACGGAAAATTTTGAAATAAATAAAAGTAATAGCCTTCTAGCGCGAGAGACATTTTTTCACCACTGAAAAAGCAAAGCAATTGGTCCTGTAGTTAAAGAGAAAGGTGATTTTTTTATAGCAACAATAAGAAAAAAAATACCAATAGGTCCACTTCGTGTCCGATAATGAAGGATTGAAAATATAAAGAGCTCATACCACTTTCATTCCGATAACATGTTTTATGAAGTCTTCCTTTGAATAACTCAAGTCCCACAACGGCATAAATAATGATAACAAATATAACAAGTAAAGCGATGTGAAGAAGAGGCACCATGGCTCGAATGATGGCGTTCAAGACAACTTGAAGACCTAGAAACAATAGTGATTTTTTTTTTAAATCAAGTAAATATTTCTGCACAAATTATTTTTCTTTCGTTCTTAAGAAACGCCAAATCTCAAAATCGTTTCCGTTCGTGTCGACATAGAAAAACGGCCCCTCGTTAATTACTCTGCATGGGCTCGCAGCTTTGAATCCCATGCGGGGATGATTATGTGCGAGAGGATTTCTGGACTCCTCGCCGCCGTAGGGTGGTTCACGTAACCGCTGGTCCTCCACCATCAAGTCCATGCTTTCGAAATCAAATAACTAACTAATCCCATACCCAACATAGAGGTCCGGTGGCGAGCGTATTCCTAAATCTTAGCACGATTAGCCACACAGTCGCGATCAGCAATATCAAAAAATAAAACTACCTTTCGACTGCCATCGGCATCGCCTGTCGAAATTTATTACATATAGTAGTAGCCAGACGCAAAATATATTTAAAGTATTACAATATAATTTATTATCTCCCAACCACGATTATAAGCATCAACGACTGGTTAAATAATGTCACACATCCTGTCAGTAATTGTGGAAAGAAAAAAAAAATTTCATTGCCGTAAGTTTTACAATATTTATGGTATTAGAAAATTTTTGAATTTAGTTTTTGGTGTTATCTACACTGGGGAATTGATTAATCCCTCCCACGTTGTGTGTGGTCCACATACCCATACACTATACGAGTCACTTTGTATAATGTTTTATGAGATCTTTCTTCCTCACAAAAGAGTCACGATTTTTAAACATTTGGTCGTTTTATTTATCAAAACTGGATTTTGAGACAAAAAGTATTGATTCTTTTGTAAAATTTTGTGCCTACACAAAATTTCTTCTAATTTTAGCGCAGAAAATCAATGTGAAATGGGGGAAGAATTAATTCATTTTGTGCATAATGTCAAAGCAATGTCAATTATTACATTCAATGCAAAATTATACCTTAATGGATGTTTTCCTAATGACGTTTACTATATAATTCCGGTAATGGGTCAGAAACACAATTTATTATATGCATGAATACCTGAAACGATAATAACTTTTTCCCAATCTGATTCTTTTTTTTGCAGATCATACAGCTTTATCAAAAGTATATTTAAATATAAAGTACTGTTTTTGTTTCAATTTGAAGCTTTTAGTTCAATAGTCAATGAATGAAAAAAATTCACGGGTAATAAATAGTACACTAAAACTAATAGATTTTGATTAAGATTTATACGTAAAGTTGCAAAGTCGCATTTTCAATTTTCAATACTAGTTTTCAATGTCGAATTTCTAACCATGCACATACACGTTGTCCATATGTATATTTTAAGCAAAAATACGTACTGTAGACTCAGTACTCAGTAGATATGATTTTGTTAGTCGAATGCTTTTTCATGATGTATATGTGTCATGACATCTACTAATGTATAATATAAAACGCAAAAATTTGTGCAAGGATGCTTCATGTCAGAGGACCCGTTCCTGGAATTCTTCGTGGGCACGACAAATCGTTTATTTTTCGAATCAAAAATTTAGCTGAAGACCAGCTAGCCACAGTTCGAACATTATAGTAGGTTTCTTTTTCTAGTGCTATTTATATTTCCTGCTTTATCCATATATCAATTTTTCAGTAATTTCACTGGCTGCGGTGAATTAATTGTAAATTATGAATCAAATGGCTACATTCCGATGCATTATTAATCAAAATGAAATCTGGTTTTAATCCATTACTGTATTGAAATTGAACATTGATTTTATTTAATTTAATTAGTTCACCATTCCCTAGCCTTTATCCTATGATTGTGCAGAAAGATTGCATTTTGTAAAGCTGTCACCTATACAGCAATAGCTGCGTTACTAGGAACTTATTTTAGCATTGATTAACACGGACGATTCTCTTGCACTAATTTCCATAATGTAATTTAATTTGTTCACATCGAGTGACATTTCTGAGGTTTGCGACCACCGATGGGATCGTTTTGACTCAATGGAGACAATCTCACCCGTCTACTAAATTAAAAGTATGGGTGCTCCAGAAGTATGCGCACTAAGATGTTGCACAACCTGAATCCTAACCGGTACACACCCACTATGTTCAGGTTGTGCGCCATCTTGGTGCGCATACTTCTGGAGGTCCAAAGTATGTATAAAAAATATATCCCAAGAATGTCAAATAATTGTATTTGGTTGCAATATATCTAAAACGTATCAAATTCGCGATCAAAAGTCGTAAAATGCATGGACCAAGTTTCAAATTATACAATTTCGTGTATATCAGTAGGTGAAGTAGTACTATGCTAATACTAATTGCTGTTAAATATAAAACATTTGTCCTTACTTGGTACGCCAGATACAAGACGAAGAGGTCGAAGAACTCTGAAGGCACGAAGTGAGCGGACTTTATCGGTACTTCCCACATCTGCCTTTTCCAAAACGATACTGATCAACCTAGAAAATAGGAATTAAAAATGTTAAAATTACCATTGAATAATATTACGGTAAACAATGTTATATTTAAAAACGTATTTTCTATAACAAAGTACCAGAACGCAAACTTTTTTAACACTGAAAATGTTGAGTAATCACATTCCCCAAGTGAAAACTATGGAGATAAATATTTACAACTCAATATTTTTAAACAGAGTCATAAAATCTTTTCTGTGTATCCAGACGCGTGCATTCGTTTGAATTTTTCGTGAGTGAATCGATTTAAAACGTGGTGAATATGCCGGTAAACGCGAGAGAGAATCCTTTCTATAATTATAAAAGTGAAACACATCGTTGGCACGCAATAATAGTTGGATTATCTTAACGAGCAATACACGCATGCAATATTTCTTAATAAATGAAAATTCTTGATGTGGGCATAAATGGGTATCTTGTAATCTTGAACATGCATAAGTACCGAATTATTTAAGGTCGTTGGAGTCCGAGATCACGGTTAAGTCAAATCTCCAATGTGTTATGAAAAATGGAAATGTTATGCCGAAACAAAAATATCTCAGTCTGTCCAAAACCAGAAGCAGTACTTATAACAAGTAAATTATGCAAAGAAACATACCCAATTACAACAATAACAAAATCGATGACGTTCCATCCGTTACGTAAGTATGCGTTCGGATGAAAAGCGAGGCCAAAAGCCACTATCTTCAGAACTGCTTCGATTGTAAATATTCCAAGAAAAATGTATTCAACCTTTTCCTGTAACATTAGAAACATATATTTATTGAAATATAACTCCAATTTTAGATTTTCTAACTACTACAATGTTTCTTATATAGACGCACGATGCCAATTGAGTTGAATATTGACAAAAATAAAAATAAAATAGTAACCAATAATGACAATGTACGGTGATAGTGAACATAATATTACAGGCTTTGCTTCAATATGTGACGTTTTCAAACGACAAAATTTAATATGGATGTCACTGGGTCAGTTACGTTTCATTCGTCACGTTCATTATCCCGGGAAATCGAATTCAGTACCTTCTAGTCCCGAGAAAATTATTAATCAATGCGCGAGACCCATGGGTGGAAGCCTTGTGAACTGTGAAATGGACTTGATGATAACTGTAGTTCTACTAGTTTGAAATGTGACTTCCTAAAGAGTTGATCCGGTGATAAAAATATTTTCAGGCAGACTAGAAGTCGTTAAAAGAATATTACTTATTCTCAATTTATTGTACCCCTTAAAAAGTCAAAATGTAACCCTGCAGGTGTCACCCATTACCAATCACGATTGCACTGTTTTCCCCCCGTCCTAGTTATATGCATATAAGTAATTTCTAGACCGAAAAAATGATGCTTAGTTTTTACTAATTGCTGTAGCTTTATTTTTAAAAACCGAGCTATTTTGTTTGTGATGTATTTATTTTTTAATTTTTTTCCTTGTACTTTTGGTTGATTGAGTTCATTATATTGATATATTTCTAAATTTCTCATTGATAAAATTCTTCGGTATAGACAGACGGTGATTTAATTTAGCACGACCAATCAATACATGTATTCATTTCCATAAAATATGAATAATGAATGTCAAGATATAGTGAAATACTCAGGGTATGCGTTTTAATGCCGATTATCTTGAATTAATTAGAAAAATGCCATTTCAGAAAAACTAACAGATAAAGATTTAATATATAAAACATCTTTATCATACTTTTTAATCCGTATCTTGATATTGAACCTAAAATGCAATCATCTAGTCGGCCGACGAATGCGGTGTGTGGATAATCTGGGTCGTATTGGCATTTATATTTTGACTTATATGACACTCAAGTTATTCAAACCTCAACAACCTAAACCATAAAATTTCAAATATAGAATAAAACAATTTTCTCATATCATTGGAATTACAATCTCAATAATATATAAAGGGACATCCATCTTTGCCGAGGTGTTAAATGACTGCGATCGGGATTGAATTCTAGCTAATCTCTTTTATGGCTTTGTCAATGAGTTTATAATTTAAATTGCGGCCCAAGATCCGCCTCAAAACCGCTTGACTGATAACAAACAATACATCGTTATATTAATATATAGCAGAATATAGAAATATTATTATTACCTAAACAATACAAAAATTTGTAAATTCGTTTGGACAAATATGCAAGTCGGAATAAGGACGGATATATGGCCTAGACGTCATTTGAATGGGCTCTACCGTAGATGGCAACTAAGCTTTCAAGCAAAAGATGCCGCTTGCTCATTGACAAAAATGTTTTATGTAAAAATCTTATCCTTTTAGATTATTCCAAATTTCGGATTAAATAATTTAAAGGTAATCAAATCGAAATAGTTGTCAGTATATTATAAAACAAATATCAAAGTTTTCAATCCGTCCATGTGCTGATATATTATATCAAGTGACGTGAGCTGACGTCAGTCGACGGAGCTGAATGAAGGCATGACAGACACGAAGTGACGTCCAACCCTATTTACAGATTATAAAATTCAAGCTCTCGTGGCACCAAGCGATCTTTTCTAATAGAAATTCACTTGATGTTTAATGCATATGTTATTATTGCAAAACTTGCTCAATAAAAACACGTTGTAAAACTGAATCTGGCAATGTTCAATGAAGGTCTCACGTGTCCTATTATTTAAATGAAATATGAAATGTTAATGTATCGGCTAAATTTCTTTGGTTAAAAAAAAATTCGAAATCTTAGTATTCGATTGTGTACCAGAATCAATGGGGTTGCAGTAGCTTAAAAAAATTCAAAATGTTTTAGAAATCATTGCACAACAGTCAACTTTTAAACTTCGTGTGTTCTGTTTTCACTTTTACGAATATATGTTTTACTGAAAAAAAACATAGCTCAAAATATATAATTCGTTTTTTATAGTTAGCAATTTTTTCTGAAGGCTATTACATACTAAGAAGCAAACTGTTGAAATTAAAATATTCAAATTAACTGTGGCGTTACAATTGGCCAACGCCAAAATCACGAATTCAAAAAGCAAACCATTGTGTGAGAATAACAATTCATAGCTGTTGTTATCATTACATTGAGAGTTGAAGCTGACAGGTAAATTCAACAAAGGTCTTCAAGGAACCAATAACACAAACTAAATGCGAGAATTATGTCCTGGATACTGATAAGCGGTAGTCAAAATACCTATACTAGAAGTGTATCCAACGAAAACTCGTGTTAGCACCTCTTATTTCGCGTTCTGTTCGTGCTAGGATAAATGCATGCTTAGTTTATAATTTCTATTTTTGTTTGTTGGTCTGTTTTAAAATAAGTCAGGTACATTATCGGTTAAGATTAGTAACATTGTGGTATTCGGAATTGCGCTGCATCAAATGTCCCAAAGCTATCGCTAGATATTTAGCGTGCGAATGTTGAACGGAATCATAGTCGACAAAAACAACCAATACAAACCGCATTTTCTAAAACTTGAAGCGCAGCTTCCACAACACAATATAAATCGTGAGATGAATCCACCACAAGGAAAAAATGATTGTATTCTAAAAATAGTTGATTCACATTTACTTCTGGGTAATATATATTGTTTTCTTGTCCCTTGAGGATTTCGGGGATTTTTGACCAAAAATAGCTTTGAATAAAGTTTTAATGAGGTAATTTCCATATTGTATTTCTAAGGCAGTTTAGAAACACAACAATCAAAAAAAAAATTGCCATCAAAACAGCATTGTTAATGAGCCTATTTTGAGTTTTCATATATACATGGCATTAAAGTATCAATACGTAGGGGGCATTCAAATGACAATGAAACATATATCCAACCATACATACACTTCGTGGAAACATTTGAAAAATATCTGATTAAACCATCAAACCCAGTAGACAACAGAGAACTAAAACAAACTTAAGTTTCTATTCGAAATCGAAATTAGTTGTTAGACATAATACTGAACTGGTTCGATTGGACGTTTTTAGTTACGATCTAGCTAAATGGGTAAAGATTTTTAGACTGCTCAAAGATTATTTAGTATACCAATAATAGCGTCAAAGCTGATTTCTGTGCAACCTATGGGATATTACTATTCATAAAATTATAAAAATGAGACTTAGGACATTCACCTATTCATTTACATATCTTTGATTACCAATAAAAATGTTCTATTTTGCATTTTAGTTTCATTATCTCGAAAATATTTCCAAAACATGCTGGCTTAACTATACAAATAACACACGTGGCGTTAAATCCTCATTCATCACCATAAAAATTCAGCAACATAAACGGTGGGTGTTTACGATCTAATTTAGCTGTCAGATATGCGTATTCCATTATTTACTCCGCGAGTACGGTAATCTGTTATAAGCGTGATCCCCAATAAATAATGAGTCAATCGCATACTTTTTATCATATTACGTTAGGTAAAATACGAATCATGCTAGGGCGTGATTTTGGCAATTGTGGTGCGATTTATGTGTCGATATAATGTATAGCTAGTTATTGGTTTGGAAATCGCTAATGATGAAGTTCTCATAACATACATCCCCATTACAGACAGATCGTTTTTATTAACCCGAAAAAATTTCACCGAAACCGCAATATATGCATAGATATTATTCATCAACGTCAAACTCTCATGTTAAATGAGCGTCAGGTGTTCTAGTAGAGCATATTGAATTGAATCGTAGTGGCCAACACGTCGACCGCGATCGACCGGTCGATCGCCACGTCTCGAGTAGTCGATCGCGCCTGATGTTGGGTGAATTTAATAACATACCCCAAAAACCAGGAAGTGTTCGCGGCGACTGTTTCAGAAGCCGTATAGCATCGGAAATTCGGAATTTGAATTGTATGATTTAAATGAAACTTAAATAAATGATGGAAATGATGGAATTTACTCCGGGTACGATAACATAATCAAATTGAAGGGAACATAAAAGCAAATTTTTATGGCGATTTCTTTAAGAATGGGCCTTCAGAGTCGAGCTTATTGGCAGCGGTGGAATATTTTGTATGTGTGTGTGCAGTGCAGTTATCTGAATATTCGGTACTCATTCGTTTTTGTGTGTGACCTTATTACCGATCGCGAGCTATTTTGAAGATTTTAGTCGATCGCGGTCGAAAGCAAATTGGTCATCCCTGGGTACGCCAATAAGATTCCACTACTCAGTTAAACGGGAAGGGAGGCTCACTCACAATCCGAATATCGCCAATGAATGAAACGATGTACCGAGGTGGAAGGATCTCAAGTTTGAATCTTGTTCGATGAAGTAAAGTTTAGTGTGGTGGCATAATCGTTATTATATCGCTTTAGTGAGTGATGTGCAGCCCTCTACGGCGAATAATCTTATTATGGTCGACTTGGAATCCAATTTGAAAAATACTTTAAAATATATACATAACCACATCGAATCATGATATAAGGTATTAAATCTGTCATTAAAATATAGTATCGATCATTTCGGAAAGGACACGGGATTATTTTTGTCAGGTACAATTCGGCTCTGAAGTAAAATATAATAAATGAATAATGTAATAATAATTCCAATGTGAGCAACGAATGTTTTTCTTCATTTTATACTGAATTGAGAATATTAAACAATATATTGGTGAAATAGATCTGGATTGAAATAGACTGATTTATCATTTATGATGAAAAGTTTATAGCGTTATATTTTAGGAAGTATGCGATTGATTCATAACTCTGTTTTTTATGTCATGATAAATTCATGTATTTCAATGTATACGATTTCATAATCTTCCTAAAACTATATAGGAAGCAGGAAAATAATAGATAGGGTGAAAATGAAATTTCAAACCGGCAACCCCAAAAATTCGGATAACGGATTCATCCTTTTAAATCGAAAAATTAGAGAACGCTTCAGATCAAAATTGACTGTACAAACGATGTTCGAGATCAATATTAAGAGTGTCCATATAAAAGTTTCATTGGATCAAGACCCGCGTATTTCATGTTCATTCTGGCGTGAATCATAGGCAAAACATATATAAATCCCAGCTGTAGTCTTGTATCAAGCCTGGTTATTTCTGAACTGCCTTTTTTCCCAATTTGCATTCCAAATTTCCAGCTATATATACAGCTGTTTAAACTTATCCTGTTGGGAGTATATCTCAGTATGCGGAATGGACGTACCGTATCATTAATTAAAACACCATGACCATTGAATTTTGATCACTCAGATATAAATGAATTGCTGTCATAGATGAACAAACTTCAGGAGAAAGGTAGAATTTCAGAAAAATGGACTGCTGATGGACAATTGTACACTATGGCAGATGATCCTCATCGAGGGATAAACTTGCTACATACGTGTGTAGGATTAGTCGCAAACAGTGACGTTCGAGTGGACGTAAATTGCATCGTGTTCTGCCGCAATGAAAACGTCATTGCCAAATCAATTATCAATAAAGAAGATATCTTTGGATTACCATCAGTTCAGATAACACCAGACAAACCCAAGACGTCAAATAGTCAAGCGGACCACTATGAATTCGGACGTCTGCTAATTAGAATACACACACTTGTAACTGCTATGGATACACTACACTTTCAATATTAAATACTCCTTGGTCTATTCACTCAAAAGTAATTTATTATTACACGAAAGGGACCTATGGATCGTTTTTGGACACGAAATGAACCTATAAATCGTTTACATTATGTTGTTTATTTAGCCTTTCTCTTTAACAACTGAACCAATTCATTCAAATTTTAGGTTCGTTCGTTTTTTATTTCGAAGTTTTGTGTGATGACGTCATCAAAATTAAAAGCGTGTGGCGGTTCCGCGGTCGCATTCCGGCGATATTGTGGTCTAAGATTTGATACTACTTAGTTTGGCCTTGATCATATATTTGAGTAGTGCTTGAGTCTATTGTAATTTCAATTTTAAATGATGGTATTTCAGAAAATAAATTTGGAGGCTTTTTCACAAAGCTTTCTGGAATACTATTATAACGACCAGCTTTTTATTTGCTTTTCACCCGCAATTCGCCTTTATGTACCAAACCGAGTAATCTGGATGGATGAAACATATATTCACAATTCAAGCTATTCTATTCTCACGTTTCCAGATATTTTATCAATCCCTGGTACGGTTCATGCAAGTAACGTGCTCAGTTTATGAAGTCATAAATATCTTGAAAAAAGTGGATAATACAAACGATATGGTTTGCATGATATAAGATACGATTTGTCATTATATCAAACACACAAGATATTGCCCACAAGTAAAAGTACAACAACAATCATTATCTTGCATAGAATTTGTTTTGACTGGATTTTCGTTCAATCCAAATCAAAACAATATAAGAGACGTATCGTGGAGTCTGTACTCGGACTTTTACAGGAGTAAATTGATCGTAACAAGGAGAAATATGCCGACAAATATGAAAATATGGTACCAAGAAATAATATAGAAAGCGGAGCAACGGGGCGGAAACGTAATAAGGACAATTTACTGCGATAATACGGAAGTATGGTAGTTTGTCACGTCATCTTAGTTGACCCTTTATACGTAATGCTGTCTGTATATTTGGATACTTGTATTGTAAATTAGCTGTGGAAATTTTCTTTTACCACAAAATCGGGTTGTAATGTCGTATATGTGATTTACCGTATTTGGTAACATACTGGCTCATCAATGCAAGGAATAAGGAAATAATAACATTACCCACAAAGATGAGCTGCATGCAACCCCGGACAGATTGTCAATATCATCGTGATCACTAAACCCTCCAGAACACGTTTTACACGTTTTGGGGATATACAGCCTAATACATGTTAAACTTTAGCCAATGCAACAAAGTAGTAAGTAAAACACCAAATTAATTGGGTAAAACTAACCCGTTTAAGCACATAAATTACCTCATCATTATTGAGAATACAAGGAAAGATTATTCTATCACTTCTACCACTGGGTTATGCAACACGGGTGGCATTAACTTGCTTTGTGGTGCCAGATATTACCTGTTGTATTACGACGTTTGGTACTATTGGTCAAATTTTACATTTTTAACAAACTATGGTTCACGTTTGATGATACAATATTGAAACTTCAATACGTCGTGTAAAATATAAAAATATCATGATGTGTACATTGCTAACCATGTAATGTGCTATCGAATGGAGATCTGTTGGACCAACTACGTTTGGGGTTGCGGAATTATATGCATATCATTCAATGATTTTGTATTAGGTGAGGAACTATTATAAATGATTTAAGAGTTTCGATGGAAAAGTGGCCACGATACCTAAGACACGGTGAGATAGGGTAAAAGAATCTTCATATTGTAGATTTTTGTTTTTTACATTTTTCATACATGTTTGCCGTTCTCGCTACGTAATAAGCAACATGCTGTGAGACAAACAAAAACGACGAACAAAGCAAAAAGTTCCGATCGGCAAACGCTTCCACGGTTGAAAGAACGTACGGAAAGGAATTTGGCCGGAAATGAACCAACGGATTGTACAGATTTTACGCATTGCTGCTTTGTCATTGTGGCTTCATCGAATTTTTAAAACTAAAGATTGTTGTATTTAAGGCATTCCAGTTGCATAGGTTGTTTATTTGAAACTTTTCACTTTAAAGTTCTAAATCGGATTCAACGCATAATCAAATGCACCGCAGAGCGTTTTAATAAGTGGACTCTTTTACCAACTGCATTGGTATATTCTTAGGGTCTGACATTTTGGTTATTCCTTCGCTATACCAATCCTCAATGTTCACGAGTTAATTTGTTTCTTTTTACCTTACTTAGTAGGTATAACCGGTCGATGCACAATGATTTCAATTATTTTACAATAAAATATTCCAGTTCTGAAATTGAATATTGCGAAACTCCACTCCATACGTTATAAATACATGGAAATACAATTTCAAACAATTCCTAGTATTCAGTTTAAATATTACACGAAAATGCTGGATATATCACGTCCAGATATTTTGTTGATAAAAATTAGAGCCAGATCTTAATTCAGTTCTACTCTTCTTAACATCCAAGAAAGTGTTGTTGAACGCAGTATCTGCCTTGAAGGAATAAATCCAAAGTGCACATGTTCGCAGGTGATTAGATTAAAACGTATAATGAGAAAAAGGCCTCTTCAATCTTATAAAATTCAATTAGTTTAAATGCGTAAAAACTAAAACTTACCAAAATTTCATTAGTTCTATTGGAGTCGTCCCCAGGAAATGGAACGTTGAATGCAAGTGCTACACAATTGGCAAAAATCGTTAATAGAATTAAAACGTCGAACGGCCTGGAAAAGAACAAAACGGTTTGAGTTAAAATACATAAAGAGCAAATTAATTGAATTTCATTCATAAACCTAGGTTTAAAATTAGAAAATGCAAGGAAGAGTTCAGTTTAAATTGAGGATAGCGCTCAGCAGATAAATCCCCCTTCCTAAACATGTGATAGCTTGATGAGAAAATAACTAATGTTCATACAGATATTCTATTATTTTATGTGTATTTTGACAAGTAAAGCGTTAATAGATCCGACTCATCATGATTCCGCAACCTGTAATATTCATTTGACACTCTGAATTAAAGTTAATTGCACATTGTACAGCCATTTCATATTACCCTCATTTTGTATAATTATCTATAATGATGATTAGTCAGTTATTCGTTTGATTGAGTCTAACCATTTTACTTAGCAGGGGACATTTGAAGTGATTCAAAATAAAGGTTTTTGCAAAAAACACTGCACTCGATTGGCAGTAGGCGTACATAACTTGTAAAGCTGCTCTGTTGTCTATCTGTCATCCGTGAATGAAATACAGACTCTGAGAATGCATTTATTTAAGTAGTATTTTAGTTACTATTGAGTGAATTTTTAGTTCGTGTTTATATTAATATTTTACTATACGGGTATCAAAGGGATGCTTGTTAAAATTGTTTTTTCGTAGTGAATCGCCAAATTTAACTATGTAATTCCAAGCAAATTTACGATCCAGTCGAGGGCAATCACACTGTTCTACAAAACTAAAAGTTATGCTTATAGCAATGGGTGTTCTATTGGCGATACATATGTAACTCACATTATTGTTTATCTGAAAGCAGTATCCTAGCAGCCAGGTTTTAATGTAATACACAAACGAACGATTATTGAACGAATTATGGTTATTTAACGAACGAAGGTGAATACCTATAATCTAGAATGATGTTACTCTCGCCGCAGAACGAGATTCAACGCTGGCATTGATCTGCTTGGCAATTCGAAACACTTTAACAGCCGGTAAGAAGTGAAAACGATTTTGTGAAATGATCTGTGAGTGCCGTTAGCGTCGATTCATCCTCGAAATGTAAACCTAAACGTTTCGGAAACGGCGAAAGCGTTCATGACCTTAGGTGTTGAAAAAAGAAAGGACGCAAAGACCTATAAAGTGTGGTAACTAGCGGAAATCATAAACAGTAAGGCAGCGAGAAGTGGTAGGTAGTCAGTATGATCACCTCCGTGGGAATCGCACACTCTCTCTTACCAGAACTTTCACAATCTATTATTGAAGTGATTAAACATATTATAGAAATATACTGTTCTTATTCGGGCTTTGAATAGAAATATCTCTCACGAATGTAGAGTTGGGTTCCCAATACGAGCAATTTACGTAGAAGCAATTAAATCGATACGATTGATTTTCGAATCAACCATTTGCAAGTGAGGCTCATTTTGCACATTCCGGTGTGGATAGTTTATATCAATGCAAGAAGAATACCCCAAGTAACTAAGCTAACTACCGTTCCACGGAAAGACGATATAGGTAAACACCCACGAATATTGATTTTCTTTTTCCCATCGCAAAATAGAAATTTCATTCGGGTCAGTTAATTATTGTCAAAAAGATAGGATGATAGAAAAAAGGGGATATATCAAAGTTAAATTGAATTTCAAAATAGACAAGCCTTTATTTTTTAGAGGTGCCCCACATTTTTAGAAGACACTTTTAAATACTTACCCATATAAAATCACAACAGAATTTGATTTGATTCAGTACCCACTTTTCCGCAAACAATGCTTTTATATTTTGTAATTTATTTAAAACTCAAGAAAGATACGCATGTAAACAAAGATATATTTTATGGAATACCAGTCGTGTTTAATGGAGAATGGGATCCGGTCGAAATAAATGACTACTTTTACAAAGAACTGTTCAGATAGAGAGTGTGCGTGCAACACTCCATAAAAATCATTTTTTAATAAAAGTTTAATAAAACACTTCAAATCTTGAAATCTGCTGTCTGTCAAATTTCAATTAATCAATGTTGATGAAGCGAGATGAAAAAATGGATAAACTTATGAATATGAATTAAAATTTACCTGAATAAAATAAAAACGCATCCCCATTTTTAATATACAAAAGCTTATTTTATGAATGGGGAATATTGTTACTTTTGGGCAACAGCTCATATTCGCTTTATGTCATTGTTTTGATTTGGATCACATAACACGTATTTTAAAAACATAACCAAATTAGGCAATAGTTCGCCTACATGAGTGCATAACAAATTAGAAGCAAGTTTTGCATTGGTATGAAAAATGTCCTATAGTTTTTGCTATTAACTTCTAATACATAAATTGAATAGGACATAGGTTACCAGATGGGAAAAAAGCTGTATTAATAGTTTCAGTAAGTGAACAATTCAAATGAATTGATAAACTTTTGATGCTATTGCAATTTGCAGGGATGAAATATGTGAATGAATTGTAGAATTGGGCGAAGCTTTATTATGATATGTAAGTTTGGCAAAAGTTATTTGTAAACGAAATCCAAGTTGTCATATTCACAGTGCATCATGATGGGAACTTAGTCAATCGTAGTACACAATATTATTATATTTCTAATCAAAATATTTGTAAAAAGCAACAAAATAGATACCAGATGGAACTGACCAGATGTAACAACAAAAATGAAGACTAATATTCTTTTTTCGCTGTTTATTAATTTATTACATAATATATCATGTACAACTTTTCATTCATTTTTTTAGGGGAGGGGGGGGGTGATTTTCATAGACACCATTTGATATATTTTGATTTTTTCCATAACAAATGTATTACTCAACGACTATCATACTTAAAATATGAAATTATATATTTTCTTTTAAAAGAATTCATTACTTCTTGTACCCCCTTGCACGGCTGATTTAACGGATGCTGATTTTCATATAATTACCAATTTTAACATAATTACTTATGCAAGTATATGAAATTACTGATTTTTGTGAAGTGTGTATTGCTGCGAAGGCATTACCAATAAGCATCCATTTTGCCACAGCTGTCGCCTTTCTCGCGTCTGCTGACGTCACAACACCACATTCCGCTTTAATTAGTTTCGTGGTGTTCACGTGTGGCTGCAAATCTAGTCTAATCGTTTTCTTAACACCCGATCATGCCGCGATTCTGTCAACTTCATTTAACAAATTTTGTTCCTTGACCTATTAGCCTCAATACACCCTTGTTACATTGCGCCCAGATTACAAAACAACGAGCGAATGATGCTGTTTATTTGACAAACGCGCGTACAAATGTCGTAAATATTGCTTCATAAACCATCACCTCAGTCTAGTGGTAGATAACGTCATCGAGTTATCAAAAAAAGATCAGAATATTGCATGGGTCAATATACAATGCCTCCTCTGAAATAACTTCTCGTCAAAAGTACAAGTTTTTATATGATTATTGATCGCATTATCCCTGAACCTGGGTTCTGCATTTGGAATGATTCATAATTAATTACATATGTTGACGGATATATCAACCAGGGTTTAGCTAATGCAACTGGCAAAACGAAACGATACAGGCAGTTCCGAACTTTTTCGTCTGAATACCTAATTGGTGATTGGTTGTATGGGGCACTGGACGGAGTAATGTAGGGAAAAATATCTCCCAATGAATATTGGTTACTAAATTTGTAGTTGAGAAATATTAGACGAATTTCACGTAATAAGAATGATGACTTGCTGTAAATTGACAACCCCAGGCTATGAGTTACATAAGATTGGGTATTTGTGTGATAATGACATTTTAGGCTGGAAATTTTTTTCGAGTTTGATTCAAAACTGAAAAAGTTTAAAATCGAAATGAGATCATGATGTAAACAAGTCATGAAGAATAAAATTTAACCTATTATTTCTTGTTTGACAATTCGGTACCTCGTTATCAATATATATATATATATTATATATATCAGCATAACCTAGTATCCATTGCCAAAAAGATATGTATTAGATCTACATTTTTCCTTCACGACTTATTGTGTGTTTTGATTCGATATTCTACAATAATTAATCATACAAGAAAATATGTCATATCGGCCAAAGGTTAATCAGCATCATCGAGTTCCCACCAGTAAAATTAATTACTTGTTGTGATTTTTAGTTGGTTAGTATGATATTCACTGCGTATTAAATAAATCTCACAAAAGAAGGCACCTGTAGTCTAAGTCTTCAAAAACTTATTCGATTATTTTTAATGATCATATATACAGGACTTGTTAGCCACACTGATGCGAAGAGTATTTAGATTGTGTCACAATGAAAAAAAGAATAACAAGTTAAAAATGGTACTCGCCTAAGTGCACTAGCAAGAGTTCAAAAGATCGTGGCATAATAGACGTAGGTTGCGACATTGAACTCTCTCACTTTACAACCCCAAAAAAACTTCATAATCGCGTGAACGCGAGCATTTGTTTTATCTTATCAAACCAGTAGCTCTGATATCTGTTTATGACGATTTTCTAAAACTTATCCAAAACTAAGATGTGTGCCGTATGCGGACCAAGATGTCGCATAACCTGAACCCTAACCTGGTACACAACCTGAGTGCAGGTTGTGCGCCATCTTGGTGCGCATACTTCAGAAGGTCCCTTTTTTCTATACGTAGAGAGCTCCCGAGTTTGAAAAGTCATGAATATTAGTTGTTGGCCTGCCCAATCTTTTTATATAGGTACGGTCGAAACGAGAGGCCATTTAAAAATGGAAAATTCACTGGCACAAGATCATAGAAGAGTCGCATATGGATAAACTCTTGGTTGAGAAACTCCAATACAAAAATGTGTGTGGAAGCAAATTCCATCACAGGCCAGATTTTGAAAATGAACTTTTTGTTGGTAACGTTGCATTAAAAGGCGGGTTCGTAAATGCAATGAGCCAACAACCAATGGTGTATGCTTGATGATAGAATGATTATGTCTTACGATGATTACGATGAAATGAATAATCCGATATTCTCTCGTTCGCGGAAACTAACATAATAAATGAACTTTCAATCTGATTTGTTAAGAAAAATCATCTCACCTCCAATCTACAATATTCATACATGCTCTTCTTATCGGATTCTTCAGTCCTAGGCACAAAAGAGCCTGGGGTGCTCTTCCTGCATTTACATCCACAGGTGTTTTGCGCTTTCGCGCATTAGTAGTGCCGTGCATGGCACTATATTGCTTTCTGGCAGCAGTTAATACAGTACTCCAGTCTACCCCACCAGGTTGTCCAGCCCCACCACCGTTCGCTGCTACCGTACTTCCAATTCCGATAGCGGTTTCTGGATTTTCAACTTTTGGTTCGTCTGTCTTAGGTGGCAGAAGTAATAATCCCTGTTCGGGCAATCCGTGCCGTCCTCCGGCGGCGTTGAGTGAGACTCCTGCTTTGCGTTTGGCGCCGATGTCTTGGTTGTCGGGAGCTGCGTCTCCACTGAGGTCATTTTGCAAACCTAAATAGAAATGCGATGCGTTAACGAGAAGAAGGGTGAGTGAATGTGTAAGGCTTAATACGATCGGTTCTCTTCTGCCATCAATCATACATACCAGTTGGCTGTGTGGTTGCTAGACCGATCTCGCTGTAACGCATCGAATAACCAACTCGTGACTATTTCAGAACAAATAACTTGCCTGTGTCCCAGGGGGGCTATCGCTTTCAATGATATCGAACAAAACTATTCTGCGTGCATGTATCAGTGAGAAACGCATTGCTCATTTACGTGCAGCCGAGTGTAGGTTATTGAAGGAGTGCGGTAACGACGCCCGGTTCATATATAACCATAGCTAAGCAAGACCATCTCTATGGAGAGACTTTCGTAATACATTACAACCCTTGAAACACCTTCAGTGATTTGCTTGAAGCGTCGATACCGCTATGATAAACTACATTTGTAACGTAATACACCGTAAATGAAAACGATATGCGCCTATATTTCAATCATTGTAGTACAAAAGAACAGGAGAAAAACTTGATACATAGATTTGTTTATTTGAAAACCAATTTATTCAAAAGTTCGCGGCTTCGGGGATGTTAATAAACCCTTTCATCCAAGGAGTTCAACCACACAAGCGCGAAACCCTGCAGTAGCAAAACAGGTCCCGTTCGCATACGCATGAAAAATCTCCTGATTGTTTTGATTGTCCAGCTGTTTTTGGAGAGCCAGACATTTTTTAAATGTTTGTTCATTCATATAATCTGTGACGGAAAAGGGCCATTGAAAAAGTACCACGTTACTGTAGACTGTTTCATTCTTTGGACAATATCACGAAAACATGATTTTGTGGCCGAAAATCGAAGCAACGTGAATAATATAAAAAATTGGGGTACGTTAGACGAAACTGGTTTTGATGATGCGCGACATTTTATTATCAAGTAATTATCTCGGGATTGAAATCGATAACCTATTAGCCTTAACCTCGTCGTGATGGAACCATAATAATTGATCTTAATTCATTATAACACAACATATGTTTTACATTCTAAATATCATTCATTTGATTTTTGTCTTCGGTATAACCCAAACCCATTGTATCTTGACAGTGTATAAAAATTATGCTATGTTGCGAGATCTTGACTGAGTGAAGGGAACAACCTAGTACAAAACTATATTGTCTACAATCAAAATTGACATAAGATATTCCTTTCATTAGCAAACCAGTTTTACGGTGGTAACTGGTATAGCGCGTCAAAACGCAGACGTTCGGTCACTATTATCAATTGGCGGTCCTAAGTTATGTAATAACTGACAACAATGTCCTAGATCAAATCATTGATATTCTTAGAATTGAAAAGTCCGCGTTCAATTTTATAAACATACATATTTACATAACAAAAAACATAGCACATTAAAAATTTCATTTTTCGAATTTTAAATTTACCAAAGAATGTCAAATGTATTGCATGGAAGGAAAAGTTCAAAACCTCGCACGAGATCTATGGACCTCTCAAGAATGTTTTGGGGGTATACGAGAACTAGATATTGTTTTTCAGTTTATTTATTCCTGCATAGATTGCCGTTTGAAAAACAAAATTTATCGACTAAAATTGTATTGACCACAGAAATCGGAACAAACAATGGAGCAGGATAGCAGCGACTTAAATGCGGTTGAAAGCCAATCAAATTATATTGGAGATGAATAAAAAGATTTAACGTAGCATTTAATTTTTTTCGGTATGCATGCGAATCCGTGTTTCGCACATGAATTTCATAAAGTTGAATACCAGGAATCCAATCCCATCAGTCCCAATATAGTGAGTGCACCTTGTCATTCGTAAAGCTCAAAACTACATAATATCAACCAGGGATTGATTATTAGACTCGTGGAAAAGATGCAACAGCAGGTTCCTCGTTGATGCAAACTTTTATCAAATATCTATGACCCACGGTCTTCTTTTTCACCATAAAAATTTAATTTCTGACCCATCCTCTAAAAAAAGATTCGCCATCCCTGATCTGAAACCTATTCAATTGCTAAAGACCGCTGATCCCCACAAGTAAAGACGGGACACAACGAATATATGCATATAAACCAATTTTTGTCATATTCATTCAAACATTTAAGAGACTCTTTCAATTGAAATTACAAACCCGTAAATATCAGTAATGTATCGCGCGATAACGATATCGTCAAAACTATTTCGGAAAACCGATGTTACTTTACTCAGATTGACAAGTAAAAATACATAAAAAATTGCGTATATTAGGTAGAATTTATTTTCTCACCTTGTCATTTTAATCAAAGAGGTTCCTTTATTTTTATTTATGATTAATTTTTTATTACATCAGACTGAAGAGAGAGGTGATGGAACTTAATTCACTCAACAAAACAATCTAATACTATTTTATGTCACCGCTACTTCTAAGCTATACTATACGACATACGTGAACTAGAATCTTATGAACCAAGCTTTAGACTACATGACTAAGCTGAAGCCCTCGAATTGCTATTCCGACTGATGACTAAACAGCAAGCCAGAGCCTTATTATTTGAGACGGACGGTTTTAGTGCACAAAAAAGAATGAAATGAAATGTCCGAACTACTGATCTACAATTTGCTGTGTTTTGGCCTGAACAATAAATGAAGCAAGGCAAGCAGTTTAGTTACCAATACAACAAACTTGAATAACGTCATTTCTCGTTTACTATACACAATATTCTGTTTATTGCACTGTAAAGTGTGGACTGTTCAAAAATATTGCGATGATGCGACTAAGACGTATAGTCTTGTTGCCTGATCCAACTTTAAAATTAAAATTAGATTTAAGATTAAAATTAGTCCTACACTATAGACACACGTTATCAGCTACACATCATCAATTCATGTTACGTTAGGCAATTATGCCCTTATGTACGCAATGCCTCAAGACAAAATTTAATGTATCGTTCCCTCAAATTGATCTTTGAAAATTTGAAAATTACTTTATTACTATATATAATATACTGATTACTGTCACGTCAAGCTAAAACGAAGTTGGAAAAAATGCGACTATTCCGGTGAGTGCACCCGGTATTCGTTGCTCAGCCAATATGATTCTGTACTTTTTGTCGAACTAGTCAAGTGTGTCAAACTACTATCACAACAAAACCCAAACATACTAAAGCACTCGTGTATTATCGAATTGTGACGAAAACGACGAGGCTTAACTTTGCTTAGGAATAGTTTTATAAAAAGGCACCCACTTCTGATTGAAATGAAAAACTCATCCCTGTGAATCGAAAAAATTTGATCTCCTAGCGTACGTACATGCGTTGACGAAAGGTTGCGATTACCATAATTGCAACAACGAACACGACAAATGGGCTTATACGCAGAGTACAAAAGTTCGAGAAAAACTACTGAATAATGTTATTGGCATGCGTGAGGCATGCGTTAAATATAAATCTGATACTGCCAAATTCATCTTTCTACTGTTTATAGTGCACGTCATACTTAATTTAAAAAAGCACAATTGATTAATTCTGAAACTGAGCAAGAACCAGTACCTGACAGATAGCGACCATGTACACTCTATGGCGACGACTTTTACTTGAATATTCCCAATAAGGATCACCTACATATTTGATAAATAGTAACTGCACATACATATCAATACAGATAATTTCTAGACTAACACAAGCTAATATTCTACGGCCTAAAAAATTAGGGAGTACAAAACAAAAAACCTCTTCATTTCGATGACTAACAATAAATGCGGTGTCTACAGATAGCTATGCAGATAAAATCGTCGGGAGTTCAAAACTATTTCATTTGAGAAGTGAACTGCTGGCCCAGTCATAAGCACCTCGTTAACCTAAAACACCCAGCATTGAACTTTACTAGGTGGCAAAATCCGAGGTCTGTTCTAATACGAAATAACTCGTCTAGTATATTCTATCCTCGTTACGTCGTTCAGATAAAGCCAAATGCAAAGTCTGAACCTAACCTAGTATTGTTGTTGTAATCGGCCTATTGCACAGAATGGTTACACTAACGCGAGGTAAAAATTCCTTGAAACTAACAGAATATCCTAAGGCTATGCGATAATTGTCCTTCTCAAACCTGTGCCAGCTTCGGTACGCCTTTGTTTACGACTATGCTATTTACTTGTTAAGGTGTACATGACAATGTATGTTTTTTATATGTAGATAACTGACACTACTTAGACAGCTGAATGAAGTACAGTTCAAGAACTAAATACAAGGTACAGAAGTAACACATACATCCTCCCTTACGGCTTTACCGTATGTATCAACAGCACTGTTCTAGGCGTACGGTCGATTTCCCAATAAAACCAATACCAATAGGCCAATATAGCGCAAACCAATTTGTGAAATTTATGCATAACTTGAAACGTCATGTTCAGCCGGGCGTGATCTAATGATATCTCTGTGCTTTTTGTCATATTTATAACTCAATCATGCATGGCTATGCGACCCGATCTTGATTAACTTTACTGCACACTGAGGTCTATTTCATAATTCTCGGCTAGAAGGTAATTAGGACAACTAATATTTTTAGAAGCGATGTTTCGCCTGAATATATTAGTAAAATATGTTAGCACCTCAAATACAGATCACTGTCAACTCAGTTGGAAATAATCAAACATCTAATAGACCGTCTTTGGAACGGTATTAAACAATAGACATTTACGACTGGCACTCACATCAGCGATTCAATTGATTTTACGGCCCTTCGTATCTAACTTATACAACGTATGAGATTAAAAAAAAACATTAAACCGTAGGCAATAAATTTTATCAAAAATTAAATTGTGAAAATTTTCGTATCTACTGCCTCAAAACCTAATTTATTGATAAATAAGACACTGATGCACGTAATCATTCCAAAATAAAATTACAAGGTTTTTTGAATCCCGGGGTTTTTTGAACTTACTGAACTCGGTGAATGGGCATAAAGTAACAAGACACATTGATCTTGTCTGATTACTGTTAAAAAAATACGTAACTACTT